ACAGCCCCGTCAATCAAGGACAAGTGAACAGCCCCGTCAATCTAGGACAAGTGAACAGCCCCGTCAATCTAGGACAAGTCATCAACCAGGTCTATCTAGGACAAATGAACAGATCCGTCAATCTAGGACAAGTGAACAGCCCCGTCAATCTAGGACAAGTGAACAGCCCCGTCAATCAAGGACAAGTGAACAGCCCCGTCAATCTAGGACAAGTGAACAGCCCCGTCAATCTAGGACAAGTGAACAGCCCCGTCAATCTAGGACAAGTGAACAGATTCGTCAATCAAGGACAAGTGAACAGATCCGTCAATCTAGGACAAGTGAACAGCCCCGTCAATGTAGGACAAGTGAACAGACCATCGACCCAGCAACACTTTCACTGTCAAGTTACAAAGTATATTCGACGTTTAATCAACCCATGTCTATTCCACATGCGTGCACATCTCCACGCTGGGTCGCAGACAAAGTAAGTAATACATACCAGTTTCAGGTCTTCATAGTGGACAAAGTGGACGTTGACATAAGGATGGTCCTGAAATACCTGTTCCCATGATCTCACGTGATCAAACCACGACCTCCAGTCAACTGAAACGTTAAAGCAAGTCCGAGTTTGTAGCTAACACTTGAAAGACACCCTCTCACGATGTCTAGCGTGTTTTCTGGCCAACATATATTGCCACACATAAATTGAATATTGTGATAACTGGAACTCTGCTTCATGTAACCGATAATTGTACATTTCATTATTTCAAAATGACTACCGACAATGATTGAGAAAGAAATAAATTTCTATAAGTATTAGCTTCCGCGATTGAAGCCATCAAAACAGACGCGCCACGAAGAAGTTCAGGGACAATTGAGCGACCGTGCCGCTCTAGGACAAGTGAACCACCACCGCCGCTCTATTGGCTATTGTGATTTGAAGCCTCTGATTGACCAATTAGAATCGAGTATTTCTAAATTCATGGTACAGTGTTGTTTAACACCGTGATTTTGTCACCTATATCATAGCCGAAACATTCTCGAGTCTGGGTTAGACGAATCAGTTATTGGAGGCATGAGCAACGACCTCGGATACCATGACACTAGCCAAATCACAGAACCTGACCAACTGTTCCCAACCTAAGTCGGCTCTTAGGACCATCATGTACTATCGACTTAGTTTGATCCGAAAACTCCGGGGGTTTTTACGATTGATTTTCCAAATTTTGGATGTATTTTTGGTCACGGAATTAATTTATCAAACTTTAGTAATAATTTCTGCACATTTAAGTGTTTGAGGTAAAAAAAACTGCATTTGCTAAAAATGAGAAAATGCTGTTTATCTTTGTAATATCAAGTTTGAAAATGTAAAGGAGCAGAAGTCCATAAGCATCACATGTGGTCAGTCTGTTTCTCAAATAAAACATTCATTGAATGAGGGATGAATTTGGTTAACAATCATTTTATGTAAAATGCTACTTAGATAAGTCCAAAACATGCAAGATGAACGTTCTGACAACTTTCATAACACTTTCTTAGATAGATCTCCCCAACATTGAAATATAGCAATGTCAAAAAGAGTTTTGTCCTTTGAAAGTTTAGAGACACTTAAATAGAAGCTAAAAATAAGGACATTACATATTATATAATTCAAATTAAATGAAAATACCTCATGAAAATAACCTAAAAGCAATGCATATATGGCCGACGTATGTGATGATATCTATGACTAAACAGTTAACGCAAACATTCATCATTGCCATGATAAAGTTAACTGTACCTTTTCCTTCTAGAAACATTGGAAGCCAATCCTGCCATTGTCCCATGTAGTCATAGTGACTGTATGAGGTATGCATATTGTACCAAGACACGGCAACATCTTTAGGATCTCTGATAAGATAGATTACCCGGCATGCCCCTGTTTTGAGAGCTTCCGGTAGCACCTGAGACTGCAGGTGCGTGTTTAGCACCCGCGGAGATGGTATTGCTTCTAGAGTGGGGATATCAGAGAACTCGATCATGTTATCTTCCTTCTTCTTTTGAATTGTGACGTCATTGTTATTGAGTAACATGCTGACCAGTTCAAAAAGCCAGTGGGTACCTGAAAAAAACCAACCAGGGTCACTAAAAGCAAAGTGAGTGAGTTAGTTGGGTTTTACGCCGCCTTTAGAAATATTCCAGCAATATGACGACGGGGACACCAGAAGTGGCCTTCACACACATGTATATATGTGGGGAACGAACCTGGGGCTTCCGCGTGACAAGCGAACGCTTTACACTAAGCTACCCATCGCCCCACATTAAGCATACTAGCCAACAAGAACAATACACACATGAGAAAAAATAATAAAAGTTTAAAGGTCGAAACTTGATAATGATCAAAATATAGAGATGAAACGTTCGATGTTCTGAGCCACTACACAACATATTGCATAGCAACACTGAAGGCGCCGGAATTCGCTGTCCAGAGCTGCGCCACTTCAGAATCCGATGATCGTGGATTCGAAAATCATATTTGTCCTACTCGATCTATCAGACACCAGTGCTTGTGTAGGTCATCAAAGCGGTAAATGTTCACGACCTGGGCCCACTTGCACAAAGCAATCTTAGCGCTAAGATCGTTTTGTGCAAGTGGGCCCTGCACCTGTTTTGGCTTTCTTTGCTCCTTCAATTAACTGAAATACTGTTCAAGGAGGTGGTAAACCAACCTCACACACTCACTTGGCTGCCCTTATTTTGACGACCTTCTTTCTTCTTTCACATATTGTTTTCATTTTGCCATTGCTGAAATATTTCCATGGGTTGAAATAGCAGGGGATTAATACAGAGTAAGTAGGCTTAAACTCCCGTATTAGCATACATTCGCATTGTACCCATGTCGGGATTCGAAAAAGGATCTTCGATATGAAGAGCAATGCATGGAATACTGTCCTATCCGGTGAGGTGAGCTGAGGGGAGGAGAAATGAAATAGGGTTTAATTAAACCTCGAGTACAAGATTATTGCACTTATAAACTGATAAACAAAAGATTGAAAACACTTGAAAATTGGATTTGACCCAAAACTTATCTAAAACCTCAAACAATGCAAACGTAAGGTCCATAACACAACAATGATACCGGTATCAAATATATCACCGCAGTTGTCTGTTGACGCGCCTGCTCGTGTGTTTGTGGCTCCTTGTACAAGCCTGGTTTTACAGTTTCAGGCCAAGGAGATACCATGCCGCAGTTTAACATGGATATTACGCTCAGACACATTATGCTGACTCCAGTCCTTGTTTTATCCCCTTAATGCTGAGCATCAACCTACAAGTACTATCTTTTACCGCACTAAGGTATGACGCGGCCGAGGTATAGAACCATCGGGCAGACGCTCTATCCAATGTAGCACGGAGGTGGTTACTGGCCTGTGAAGCTATACACATGAATAAGTTAAGTGTTTGTCCGAAATGACAATTGTCACTGGTTCATTGGATATATTCATAAACATATTTTCTAACCTGATCTCATCCAGTTTATGATAATTACATCATCTTCTCGAATGTGCAGTTTGTGACATCCTCTAAATACATCTTCCTGGAAAGGGGTAGGTAACCAATACCCATCGATGTCACGAAAACTAATACAGTTGCCTCCCTTGTCGGGTACCCGGATGATGGACATTTTGCCGAACTAATGTGCGCAAACCTGGAAAATCAAATGGAAAAATTGATTAATTTCGCCACAACAGACCCACTACTGGGCTCCTTGTTCACACACGTAGTTAGCCGATTTCTCGTAGACTGAGATTCAAGGACAGCAATGGATAAGCATACATTATAGGGTTATAATCAAAGGGGCCACAAACACATATTCACTGGTTACATTTTTTTTCATTTTTATTGAAGAATGCTCTGAAATACCATAATAAACATTAATTTTAATACATTTTACATTTGTAATGTCATTGGTCTTTAATACTTCTTGGGTCTCCCGAACCTCGGAAACGTCAATATAGAACATCATAAAATAAGAACATTTAGGATCCATTATATTATATTACATTACATTACATTATACCTTGATACCGGTGGATGATTATGGGCACCGGAAGCTTTCGTCATGACTCTCAAAGAAGTTATTAAAAACTAACACTATTTATGACAGTTATTTATAGATTTTAATCGTCACGCCGAAGACCCGGGTTCGATTCCCGACATGGGTACAATGTGTGAAGCCCATTTCTGGTGTCCCCCGCCGTGATATTGCTGGAATATTGCTAAAAGCGGCGTAAAACCTCACTCACTCACTCACTATAGATTTTAATGTGTTCTTTTGACCAGGATTTGTGACCTTTTTGATTATGGTGTCCGTGGCCCTTTCAACCTGTGACCCTTTTGACCTGTCCCCTACATCAGTTTCGAATGACAAGAAACAGAGGACTAGCTACGTGAAGAGAACATCACTGGAGCATTTGTTGGATGAGTGTTTGATATTATCAAAACTTGACACTTAGCAAACTTTGAGTAGTATCGAAATACGCGCCTGTGAGCATCCAAGCTGTAACTCGGCGCTATATAAATAAATAATATTTATTGCATTTGTTTATGAAGTAAACATGTTCTCGCGCAATAAACAAACCAGAGCAGCTTGTTATATTTTGTTTCGACCAAAACAAAGTGTCGAGTTGTAGCCTGAACCGCACACCGAATCCCAACATATACGAATATATGCATATCGTGACTAACGTATGCAGGTTAACACACGTATATACCAAGGAGCATTAGGGTGTACTAGTATGTACTAGGTCATTCGGATGGGGATACAGCACTGGAATGTACGTCCTTTCTGAACATAATCTAATGAGCATCATTATGGAATTATGTCACGTGACGAGTGTCTGACATTTTCAGATACGTTAATATCTGGTCGAGGCACAGCTGTGCTTACTGAAATCATACAGTACACTCTGTTTGCTAGCTGTTTCACGCTGCACTCCGCAATAGTCTAACCATATCATAGCAGCGTGTAAATAATTTAGTCTCCTACTTCAACAACTATAGAGTACTGGGAACCTCATCCTACCCGGGATCCCCACTTGGATAAAACGCTGAACCTTTCATATTAAAAACAAATATTTGTCATTCTTTGATAAATTAATATCAAATGAACATAATCTGAATGTTTGCGGAAAATGTCAATCAATATTGGATTGTGACTTTAATTGAAAAATGATATTACTGTCAATAGAGATAAACTCAAGGATGGAAGAACTTTTAGATTTTCGATACAGATTTATTCATAGAATGATCTACACAAAGAAGGGACAATCAACGAATCTCGTAGATAACAGTGTTTGTACCTTTGTGTGTTTGTTTGTTGTTTAACGCCGCACTCAGCTATATTCCAGCTATATGATGGCGGTCTTTAAATAATCGAGTCTGGACCAGATATTTCATTGATTGATATAATGATCATCGATCTACGCAATTGGGATACGATAACATACATCAATCAAGTCAGCGACCCTGACAACCTGAACCGAAAATAGATATACTTACTTGGCCACTTTTATTCTCAACCTTTGATTCTTAGATCTTTGATGATAAATGCTATGTTTGATTCTGATTGTGTGATTCAACCTTAAGCTTGAAATATGCCACCGTTTGTTCACATTCTTTACAATTGTTTTCACTTTTATTGTGTCATGCTATTGCAATTTGAAATATGTCTTCACTGAGTACTGTCGCACTTTGCAATTCAGGGAACAATATTTATCATCCAAAAATGGTTCCCGCAGGAGATATCGCTTGGGTAAGATCAGCGATATCTATATTGTAGATATCGCTGCAATGAAATTGCATCACAATGCTTTGCAGACCATTGTGATGCCATTGTTACCATGACGTCACAATCAAATGACATCACTAAAGCCTCTGCTACTGAAGCTCTTAGCAGTACTTTTTCCACTTAGGACACTGCTTATTACTGTCTACAAACTGAAAAAGTTGGAAGAATGATGTTGGATGATAAATAAAATCTCACCCTCGTGTCTTTTGATATCAAATATATCAACACTCGTTGATAAAAGTAGAAAAACTCCTCGGCAAGCCTCGGACTGTTTCCACATTAATCAACTCAAGTTGATATATTTGATATCAAAAGACACGAGGGTGAGATTCTCTATTAAAAACAAAAACAAATCTATATACTTTAGGGAAATCGGTGAATATATTTCTAATGGTAAAATCCAAGGTTCTACTGAAATGTGTTTACCCGTGTACAGAAACGGAAAACGGAATGCCATTTTACTACAATATATAACTGAACATCGTGATAAACATACATTGTATGATAATATACTTGTAAACGCGGTTGTTTACAAGGCATCAGTTGTGAAGTTGATTAATGCTGACTGTCGCGTTAATCAACATTCAGACTTGAGATCGTGCAGATAAACAGAATCAGCAAAGTGGTACATTTTCGGCAACGTCATGAAGTGTAATGTTAAATTTATAACAGTGATTTGTATGTTTTTTAATGCTCGTCTTTGTCCTAACTCGCTTGGTAATGATAACCCATCCTAGCCAGACAAACTTGTTGGGAATGTCACAATATACAATAAGGTGAAATGGGTTTCGACGTTGCGTTCAAAACAGATTGACTTTCCCCGGAGCGGAAAACAAATAAACCGCGAGGTAGAAAATCGTCTGTGTCGATTGAAGAAACAATTCAACCAGGGACTAAAGACACCCATCCAATTCGTGGATGCTGTAGGCCATCTGATCAAACTTAGTGATAGTGATAGTGACTTCATTAAAATGGTTTCAATGTGCTCCATATAGGTTGGATCTTTGTTTAAAAAGATGTGCCTGTCATATATTGGTCTATATTTTGTTATTAATGTACCTCAATAAATTATTCTCTCCAAACTGCTTTGTTCTCTGTTTGGGTTAATCCATTTAATCAACAAGGTAACAAGCAGGAGATAAGCTGTGCACTCAATTGTGAACTTCTTTGTTATGAGCTGAAGGGTCTATGGGACGTAGGGGTGTTGGGAGAATACCCTCAGACACAGTGTACTGACTCGGATCCAACCAGTCCATGTTTATCTCCTTAATGCCGAGCGCCAGGCAAGATAAGAAGTGCCATCTTTGTACTTCTTTTGGTCTCAGTCAAATAGAACTGCTAATTATTATCATAAATAAAGTGCAAAATCACGTCTGTGCTCACTGATCTCACTCAAAGTCAAACTTAAGCTCCAATATAGATGACAGGGTTATTTATTGATATAAACCTGAAATGGCATACATGCGAGTGCTTTTGTTAAGGTCGCATTAATAACTTGATCATGGCATCAGTGGTAGAATTCCTTACCACGGTATCTCGCGATGACGTAACATCGTGCGTGTATGAACATTTTATTACAAATAACGTTTAATGTGTATTTTACATCCTTAGAATGTTTTCAAAATGCTTACATAAATATCACGTATTTAATTCCCTATTGTACTTACCATTCACATTAAAGGGTCAACGTCCTTATACAGATGACGGGTGTTTCACAACCCAGGAACCAGTAAATGCCTGATGGAAATCTCGCGTTGATAACGTGATCAGCATTGGGATGCTTAGTCACGGAAACGTGCGAGGAGGTACCTGTTGATGACCTGAATCGTGTATGGCAATTTAAGATATAACCTCGTCTGAATGCAAAGACCACGTGATGGAATGAGGTAATTAAACCTACGGTTGTCGTGTTGGAATGTTCACACATGAAACTGTTCAAAAGCGCGGATATTCTTTCACGAAAAGTTTAGTATTCAGACAACTGGTTTGAAAACGTATCACCGAGTGAGTTAATAATAACGTCTTATTTCGTTTCCTTTTCAAATACCCGATTACATATAAAGGTCCAAATCTGTTATTTAAATTTGGTCGGGGTGCATTCCGCCTTCGGGGTCCAGGTCCACGTATGAACAATATCTACAATTGAGTATACTGGCTGTGTATGTCTAACTTGTTCATGTTGTCAATCACTGGTTCGCCCGCCACAGGATGTCGTGGTGTAGCAAGCCCCAGCATAAAACTCTATTTACTCCTTCGTTTAATGAAACCGTAAAACGCATATTTTTTTAATAATAACTCACTCTCTCCTGTTGGTGCGCGTTGGCGTGAATGAAGTAGTGACCATGCTTCACGTCATGATAATTAACATTTGTCGCCACTCGTCGCTTTCCGTAACCCGCATTCGGCTTCTTCCGTGAAGACACGAGTGGTCACGAATAGCCAATTACCAATTATGGAAACACAATAAACACTTGTCAATGTTTAAAAGTGTTGAGGGGTTAATCCTTCTTGAGTGACGGTGACTAGACAGAAGATTATCGACAATCGCCACCACCTTATTTTCCGGGGCGCGGGTGACCCAGTCATCTTAGGTGCCGAAACCCATTGTGCAGAGTTGCGTCCCTTGGGCGTGCCAGAATCCTAAGATCATTGGTTTGAATCCCAGGTGCGTCCTAATTTTTGGTTTGGCAGCACCGTACTCACGTTCATGGGTTTCACCAAAGTGTTAAATATCTAAGACCTTGCATCACTTTCGACTGCAGCTTTCTTGGTAGTAGTAATACATGCATTTGGGGTTTTACTTCAGCTCACCTTAAATGCAAGTATTATTATACTACTAAAATGGTAGTGAGCTAAGTCTATCCAAATATGTCTAGGCCATACAAATGCCTACAACAAACAAGCCACGCCAAGTTGTTCGCGCGAAGTGTGGACACCTCAGATGCACGTCTGCGTGTTGACATCACGTCACAGTCACGCGATATAAAATCATGCCTCTCAAACTGAAATGTACTCGCAAATCTAAATATAGCACAGGAATTTACCTGGTTACGACCAACGTCCGAACTAAAAGTTACTCTCAGAGTTTCACTTTACTCTTGGCTAAAAGTCACTCTCAGAGTCATTATGATTACACTCCTAAGTGTAGCTCTTGGCTAAGAATTGTTTTAGCGAGTTAAGAGTATTCTTCAGAAAATTCTGAGAATTTTTATGAATACCGCACCAGGGATCGCATCTGGGGGTTCATAAAAATCGCATGTACCCTTTGGTAATATCAGGTCACGAGACAACAGTGTATTGTTTCCGTCATCCGGACGGCATTGTTGACGCCATTTTAATCTTATTGTGACGTGAGGTCAGAATGACGTCACACTAGAAACGACGTCATAGCTGAAGATTGTTGACGTCATTCGACCAAGTGTTTTTTCCGCTGTTGCGACTTGCTGTCCGAATAGGTAAAACACTAAAATTCGTCTCTGTATGTCGACAACATCTTCGGTAATAAATAGAACATTATATGTCAATACATACTCGTATCGTAAACATAGTATGGCATGAACACTTAAATAATATCCTCTATATATAATTACAGTCACCGCATCACAGTCAGATTGATACTGCAGGTGACAACACTATAGTCTACACACATGTGTGAGTAATATTCAGAAACAAGAGTCCCTAAACTAGCTAGTCACGACTGCGTGATTCTGATAAGATTACAATAAACTAGATCACATCTGGGTCGTTTTTTGGACAGGCAGATTTCCCAGCAAAACTTGCAACAATGAAACTAACTGCAGCTATATTTCTGCTTCTTGTGGTATCCGTGTATTGCTCAGCTCAAACTCCAAATATCGTGTTTATCCTGACGGATGATCTAGACACCGAGATTGGTGGCATGGTGAGTAGTTGTAGTGTACTTGAAATATGTACTGAAGGCACAGCAGTAGCGAACATGATTTGACAAATTCTTATCAATATGGGTTTAACAACCTCAAACACACGAGCATTTCCGATTTATAAAGCCTTGAGTTTAAATTTTCGCTTTTAGACAAAAATGAGTTGGTGAAAACTCTGTGACCTCATTAGAGAATTTCGATGAATAGGAACCGTAATATTTTGAGAGTTACAAAAACAGACACATTGTGGTCGACTGACTATTTGCAATTCGCATCAATAACATAATTGTAAAACACGACTATTTTGCTCTCAGGTTGTTGTTTTTTTTGCCGATGTTTGTAATTAAAATATGAGTCATGCTCCAATATAGATGAAAGGGTTGTTTCTTAATATAAACCTGAAATGGCATACATGCGAGTGCTTGTGTTAAGGTCGCATTAATAACTTGATCATGGCATCACTGTTGGTCAAGGACCTGTCTGCATCGTTCGATGAGATACAATGATATTAGATGGTATTAAATAAAAAATGTTTGGGCATCTTTCAGACACCACTCGAGAAAACAAAACGACTCATCGGTGATAATGGTATCACTTTCCTAAATATGGTACGTGGCGTTAGGGTGTTAGACAGACATTCTTTATTTCCTCCAATAATTGAAGAGTGCTTATTATTATTGATAGTCAGCATTATTGACATCACATTTTATAGTTCAGCGTTGTCTGACTTTGTCTGGTACATGACTTTTATATTATCATTGCACGACGCCCGTGTACAGTACTATTTCTGCTCGGGCATGTTTTTTCAACACTTGTACTTGTACATGTAACCGCAGTTATATCATCTCTGCATTCACCAACAGCACGAAAAATAAGTTCAACGATACATAGAAAGTAATCATTTTGAAGATGAAATAAATGCTTCATTCAGAACGTCAGTATCTATAGTATGCAGAAGCTTTGGGTAACCTTTACAGTATATGTTTATGTCATAAGTGATGTTGATAACACTCTATTCGGGCAAATAAAATTTTAATGTTCATTATGAGCATGTTAAAGATAATGCTACCCTTGACATTGTTCTGTAAATTTATTAAAACAATTTAACCCAGGTCCCCCCTCTTGCTTGTCGTAAGAGGCGACTAAATGGATCGCGGATGGTCAGGCTCGATGACGTCATTAATTGCGTGTCATCGTATCCTAATTGGGCCTATAGATGCTCATTGCAGTCGTCATATACCTTGTATATTGTTGAATGCGGCGTTAAACAACAAATAAGCAAAATCTACAGAAATCTTGATTGCAGTTTGTCACAACACCGATTTGCTGCCCAAGCCGTGCCAGTATTTTCACGGGGAAGTATCAGCATAATCACCGGACGTTGAACAACACAGTCGATGGCGGCTGCAGCAACACTGCTTGGCAGCAGACAGAAGAACATAAGGCGTTTCCGTTTCATCTCCAGACACAAGGATATGATACATTCTTTGCTGGGAAATATCTCAATCAGGTTACTACTGTATCTACTACACTGATCTCTCGCTATCGCAAAGTCTGGATAATAAACGACAACATAATTATCCGCCGTTAGATATCCGTTGTACGAGACAAGCGAACGTCGTTTAGACAACTGTATGTTTCCTTAACTTTGCGGTCACCAAAGCAAATGGTTATTATACTTTTGAGGTACATAATCAACTCTTAATATCTCTGTTTACGGAAAGAGGTTTCATTTTCATAATGCGAGAGTTGTGTTTTACGCCGCTGAAACACGACTCTAGTTTCATCACGGTTTTCAATTTGATGTGGGTGGAAATTCTTTTCCAGAACATGTAACTGGCATCGCTGCCATACAGTAAAACCCTGTTGGTCCTGCCGAACGATTGCCAATAGAAACATCTATACAGTGAAATACGGGGCCCGTTAATCCTGATTGCCCTATGCCGGGCAATTACTGTTTGGGACGTCTATATGAAATTAAAGCGATATTAGAGCATACCCATGATTCATTACTCCGTATACTTATTACTCCGGACAAATCAACAGAAACGGTAGGGGTTTCACATGTGTACAAATGGACATTCTGTACCAATGATAACTTTCTCTTCCATTGTTTTTAACAATATCGAACAAATTGTATCCTCGGACACGATGCTATAATACGATAATGTTCCTGATGCAGATAGTAATGTCCCACATCTGTGTTTGTCTCTGACAGTATGGCATGGATACAGTAGGGGGTGTCGGACACGTCCCCCCAGGTTGGAGCTCCTGGGTCGGGCTGGTAAGTGAATATACTGTCACCGTTTCATGTATGTAAATACATTTAAAGTGAGAGAGTGAGATGGGTTTAACGCCGTTTTGAAGGTTTTTACAGTTATGTCACAACGTGTCAGCTTAATTTGGGAGGAAAGCCCGACGTGATGCATGTCTTAGACGTTTACCACTTTGGTGAAACTCACGAGCACGGGTATGGTGCTGACAAACCTAGAAACATAATCGGGACGAACCGGAACTAAAACCCATGATCCTACTTCAGGGTTCTGGCGTGCCCAATGGACGCAACATTTAGACGCCTGGGCCATCTGTGCCCCCAAACTAATAATATATACTAATACTAATAAACTAGTAATAATCAGCCAACACTGGATATAATTAACACAGTCATATGTCGTGCTCTGGACGTTGCTAATAACATAAAGTAATATTTTTCTCCTCACATATGACGTAATCAATCTTCAATGTCGATATCAATGTTGTCTGAGGCACCGCAAAATGTTTTGCTGAGTTGCGTCCCTTTTGCGTGCAATAATCGTATGAACATGGGTTTGAATCCTAGATTATCTGATTCCACTACTACTGGTTTTACTTTACAAGCCTGGATTTCCTCCACCCTGGCACCATAACCCTGTGTCCTTCATACACAGAATTATGTCTAAACTGTATTCGACAAGCCAAAAAAAGGCATCTTCACATCCGTTTGGGGAATGCAGGTTCTTTTACTTTCTTGGTTACAAATAAGCAACATAACAAAAGCCCGAAGCGAGCGGGAAGCAGAAACATAATACTATATTTTCGGCCTAACCCTTCTCTGTTTGTTTCTATTTGTAGGTGGGCAACTCGGTGTATTACAACTACACACTTTCTGTCAATGGAACAGCAGAAACCCATGGTCATGACTATACCAGTGATTATTTAACAGACGTCATTGTAAGTTGAACAACCCTGTGGTACCTTGCAACATATTCTGGTCTTAAGAGGCGAATTAATTGATCGTGTGATCGGGCTCGGTGACTTCGTGTCGTCGTACCCTGGCGGGGTGGAGCGCTGCCCATGATATCAATCAGTGGATTGTATGGTCAAGACTCAAATATTTACAGACCGCCGTCATATAGCTGCAATATTGCTGTGTGCGACGTTTAACAACAAAGAGAGAAAGAAAACAAACAGAAAGTGTACGTTGTGGGCCATTCTGTGTTTGTCAAGCAAGATTTAAAATTATATTTCCCCAAGTTAACATTGTATTTCAAAACCAGGATATCACCGATATCCTAAAAGATTTTTCAAAAAGGAATAGTAAAGCTATTTTATTTGATGCAGGTGTATGTTTGATTTAAAGCATAAACGCGCCAAGGAGTTCCTGGGAGACAAGACAAATGACAGTTCCCCGTTCTTCATGATGCTGTCCACTCCCGCCTGCCATGACCCCTGGGAGCCGGCTCCACAGTATGAGAGCAACTTCCCAGACATACAGGCTCCACGGTTTGGATCCTTCAATACTCACGGAAAGGTAACACTTACAACAAACATTTATTTAGACACACACGTGCATGCGCGTCGCTATGTAAGTGCAATAATCTTGAACGCGACGTTAAACCCTATTTCACCTCAGCTAAAACTTTCTTTGTAGTTTTAGAATAGTGTGTCATATTCACCCGTCTGGTAATGGTCCAGGTATGGATGTACACCAAGAAACATTGAATCTTGATATTTCAGTCAAAGTAAACAATTTTCCAGTTATAACACCGCGCTTTGTTGGTACCAATGGTCAACAATGTTGCAGTCATATCACTGTGGCTTGGTGATACCCATTATCAACACTATCCCTGTTATATCACTGTGGCTTGATGATACCCAGAGTCAACAATATTGCCGTTATTTCATCGTAGCTTGATGATACCCAAAGTCAACACTATTCTAGTTATATCACTGTTGCTTGTTGATACCCACAGTCAACAACATTGTCGTTATATCACTGTGGCTTGTTCATACCCACAGTCAACACGATTTTAGTTATATCACTGTGGCGTGTTGATACCCACAGTCAACAACATTGTCGTTATATCACTGTGGCGTGTTGATACCCACAGTCAACAACATTATCGTTATATCATTGTGGCTTGATGATAACCATACTCAACAATATTGCCGTTATATCACTGTGGCTTGATGATACCCACAGTCAACAATATTGCCGTTATATCACTGTGGCTTGATGATACCCACAGTCAACAATATTGCCGTTATATCGATGTGACGTGATGATACCCACAATCAACCATATTGCCGTTATATCACTATGGCCTGTTGATACCCACAGTCAACAATATTGTCGTTATATCGCTGTGGCGTGATGATACCCACAATCAACAACATTGTCGTTATGTCGCTGTGGCTTGATGATAACCATACCTTACTGTGGCTTGATGATACCCACAGTCAACAATATTGTCGTTATATCGCTGTGGCGTGATGATACCCACAATAAACAATGTTGTCGTTATATCGCTGTGGCGTGATGATACCCACAATCAACAATATTGCCGTTATATCACTATGGCCTGTTGATACCGACAGTCAACAACGCTGTCGTTATATCACTGTGGCTTGTCGATACCCACAGTCAACCATATTGTCGTTATATCGCTGTGGCTTGTTGATACCCACAGTCAACAACATTGTCGTTATATCGCTGTGGCTTGATGATACCTACAGTCAAAAACATTGTCGTTATATCACTGTGGCTTGTTGATACCCACAGTCAACAATATTGTCGTTATATCTCCGCGGCTTGATGGTAACGTGACCAGGCTGGTCGTAACTCATAATATCAATGACTCTTTCGCCTGGTCCAGACACCAGATTATTTACAGGCCGTCAGCTTAAAGCTGGAAAGATGTTATGTGAGGCGTTAAATAACAAACATACAAACAAACAATACAGGAAACCTTGATTTCAATTTGTCACGCCACTAGGTTGTTGTCCAAACAAATAAATGTGTCTGCACCATGGCCAAACTCGTTCATATGTGTGCATATTTCGTTGGAACCTTTTCTGTTATCCCTTCCAGATCCCAAAATCCATGGATATTATGGATCAATCAACACTGAACAGGTGACCTCCAACAAACATAACAATATGTTAACGCAAAAGAATAAGTTTACTTTATGTCTAATCTTTGTTTATGTTAAGGGAAAGCACTGGCTTATTCAGCAAGCTATAACGCCCATGGACAACGACACTATCGCCTTTGTTGATGACGTGTACAGAAGAAGGTACGTTCCTTACAATTGTTCTTGGTAGTTCAACAAACCTGACGGGATCCAGTTAGACCTTTTGCATAAAGTGCACACACTTGAATTGCAGATTCATCTATATATATGTTTCACTGTTATTGTTTCTTTGCGTATTTGTGGGTATTCCGAGAGATGGCGTATCATCGTTCTCCCATGGCGAGGGAAGATGTTTCTGCTTGGTATTCCAGACCCAAAGATTATTTACAAGCCCCAGTTATATTGCTTACTGCTGCAAAAATCAACAGACAAGGCCACCTCCGTGGTCTCGTGGTAGAGCGTCATGGAGATCGGAAGGTCTGTGGTTCGATCCCCTGCCGCGTCATACCAAAATACGTTAAAAGATGGTACTTGTTGTTACCCTGACTAGCGCTCGACATACATGCGATTAAAAGGACTGGCCAGTATACTGTGTCTGAGTGGGGTATCTATGTTCAACTGGTATCTCAGTGGGTTAGCATGGAAATGTCCGGACCAGTACAAGCACACACACACACACGCGCGCACGCACACACACACACACACACACACACACACACACACGCACGCACGCACGCACGCACGCACGCACGCACGCACGCACGCACGCACGCACGCACGCACGCACGCACGCACACACACACACACTTTCCTAATGTACATTTGTGCATTTCAAGATGGCGGACACTCCTCTCGGTTGATGACATGGTGGAAGATTTAGTGAACACGCTGGAAGCTAAAGGACTCCTCGCTAACACCTTTATCTTCTTCTCCTCCGACAACGGCTACCACACAGGTATGCTTGAATTAAAACTGTTATAGGCTAACGCTGTGGTTCTTGGGAATTTAATAGAGAAATGACTATGAAAGGTATTTTAGCGCGACAAGACATTCATTATGAGCAATTCGAATTGATAAAAGAACACTATTGTATCAAGGATTGAAAATTTATCTCCGACTGACTCTTACATTATATATAACTACTGAAGATATGTTTCTAAGTAAAATTGAGCGCCTGCGCCTCTGACTGCTGGTGTAGTGGATAGAACGTCTGCCCGGAGAGCGGAAGGTCGTACGAAAAGGGGGTAATTGTTGTTAACCTGCCTGGCTTTTGGATTTAAGGGGATAATACAAGGACTGGCCGGCTCTAAATGGAGTATCCATGTTAAACCTAGGCATGGTATCTTATATCAACCGGGACAATTCCATGTAGCTGTCTTAGTGCAAGAACTAATCTGATCCCGTTAGTCGTCCCTTACGATAAGCAGGAGACCAACTCTAACACGGTAACTTCAAGGGACAATGGCCCATTTAAGAAATGGAGCCCAACTGCAAGTTATTTGTTTGGAACTAACATAATGTGCATTAGATTTTAGTTAATGATCGTCAAGGTGAAATATCATTGACATATTTTCCCAAGACTCAATCCAAGACTCACCCTGACTAATAGCCACCAAAGTGATGATACTTGAATCACGTGAAACACACATGACAGTGAAATAATCGTATACCCCACTTCACGTCACCTCACCTCACCTCACCTTATACAGCAGTGTACTGCCCACCTAGGTCAGTTCTCGATGCCGACTGACAAACGTCTCCTGTACGAGTTCGATGTCCGAGTTCCCTTGTTGGTTCGAGGCCCCGGAGTTGCAGCAGGGTCAAAGAACGAGGTGAGAAACTGCCATTTGCTTACAGGTTTTCGTAGACAAGTCCAAGCGCATGTCATTAACTTTATGAGGAAATTGTTACAAGTTGATTTCCCAGTCTGAAGGTTAACCAATAAATAGAACGTATAGAACTAAATTGAGAAATCAGTAAATAACCACGCAAGACCAATGTATAATTAACAAATCACATTGAAACACACAGAAATAGGTTCACAATCACAGAAGACAATACAGTGGGTCAAATGTGAAGCATCAGCAAGAAATAAGGGTGCACTCACGAATGTCCAGAATGAATCATGAGTGTTTTAAGTGAGGCAGGTGCACCGTTCTTGAATCCGGGAAACAGTGTTTGAAACAGGCACACAAGTCGGCGCTTTCAGATAGGTACCACTGAACAAGTAGATACGTCATAAGTTAGATCGTAAAATGCCTTGTATCGCCCTTGTCAAACAACTCCTCACAGCGGAGGGTAAGGTGTGAAACGTAGTTTGGAATCGCAACAACTAAGGGAGGCTACTCCGAGAGGTAGATATGCAAACTACCCTAAAACTCGAGATTTTACGAACGCCTCAAATTTGCTGCCACTAAGAATTATTAGAAATATACTTACAAAAGAAAAGTTACAATATATACTGCCACATACCAAATATCCTCATGAGTTTAAGAGCAAACGTGCTATGCCTTTGCATGGTATTAAGAAAGGCGGAGTATTTTATCCGTTACTTAGGCAGGCATGTTCCTAGATCAAAGGCCCGTGAAGATCCGGAGTAGAAAAGGTCTTCAGCAACCCATGCTTGCCGTAAAAGGCGACTATGCTTGTCGTAAGAGGCGACTAACGGGATCGGGTGGTCAGATTCGCTGACTTGGTTGATGCATGTTATCGTATCCAAATTGCCTGGATCAATGCTCATGATGTCATTCACTGGATTGTCTGGTCCAGACTCGATTATTTACAGACCGCCGTCATATAGATGGAATATTGCTGAGTGCGGCGTTAACCTACACACAAACAAACCTAACTATGTTGAAACAGTGTAATACTTGTACGTCACCACAAATATGCGAGTAATGTTGATAGTAGTTCGCATGACACGTTTTCATAAAAAGAAACTTTGTGTAAGTGTGAATGAAATTATGCACCACCTGAGGAACTAATTTTGAACACAATTGCCCAGTGTCTTGATGGACATTGTACAGTTATTATAATTGTGACTTGTATACGTATCATGCGTCGTATGTAAATAGATACTCGCAAACAAGAAATCAACATCCCTTGATTGGCCAGCCATTACTCAAATGTTTAAATGTCAATCGTAGCGTGAATCCAGCTGATTTTCTAACCTATGATTATGACCTGAACTTATAGGTTACGACACCTAACGTGATTTACAAGAGAAAGTCAAAGGTATAAAATAGGCCCAAGTGGTAGAATATGGAAAGCAGACTTTAAAACTAACAAAGTCGCAGATTCAGGATAGATACGGCCACTAGTTCGTTAGTCAGAGACTAGTAACAATCAAGACGGACTAGTTGTATACCACAAAATCTAGTTATTTTACGTAACAACCAGTCCGAAATTAGGTGCGGACTAGTTTGATACGACCAATGGTGTCTGTCCCTGAGAAAGAATTGTGCTATTTTTAACAAATGTACTAAAACAATAAAAGTTAAGGTCAAATCTCCGGTAATGGCTTTTTAAACTGGTGTTTACATCAGCACAAGAAGGGATATGAACTCTTATTTTGGACAATTGTATGAAATTATTAATAAAAAATAATGACATTGAATTGTATTTATATGTTTGAAGAATAAGTGAGTGAGTGAGTATGATTTTACGCCGCTGTAGCAATACTCCAGCAACATCACGGCGGGGGACACCAGAAATGGGCTTCACACATTGTACCCATGTCGGGAATCGAACCCGGTTCTTCGGCGTGACGAGCGAACGCTTTAACCACTAGGCAACCCGACCGCCCCTGAAGAATAAGAATTGTTTGATTAAACCAAATCAGTACTGTCGCAATAACAGAGCCTTTTACACATCCACTATGTTCAGGAAAACGTCCTCAACATAGACTTTGGCCCGACATTTGTGGAGTTGGCAGGTGGTCATGTTCCAGACACTATGGATGGGAAGTCTTTGGCGTCGGTGTTGCACAACACCAGGGATGATTCGGTGCCGTTCAGGACGGAGTTTCTCACTGAGTACCAAGGGGAGACCAACACCAATATATTCTCCTGCTCGCAGTGGGAGAACCAAGGAATGGCGGTATGAGTACATCTGCAGCTTTCTTCTTTAATGTTCAGTGTTATACATACAATCTCCTACCAAAAGTTCTTTGCGGTCAACGTAGTACCTCTGTCACAGGCTATTCAACAAATTGCATAGGGGTTTCATCTATTTCATTATTGAAAAGTTTACACATTTAGGTAAGAATATGTCATGAAATCATTTACTTTCATTGAGCAAATATCCTAAAACATGAACAATTATTTCCATTTGTGTGTTTAACCTTTGCTTACAATGGTTGGACGGGTTGGACGAATAGCTAGAGATACGGCCACTTTCTATATGTACAGATGTAGTGTCATACTTCTCAACGTCGGAATTGTGGTAGCATATCTTAATAATGATGAACAGATTAAAATACAAAATGCAGCAAAGAGGGTTTCGGTTATCCTGACACAATAGGGCTGGTTAGGCTCATCATCAGCTCAGGGCCCTTGCCCCCTCTACACGCAGCCCAAAAAGCGAATGGGACTTCTCCCAAGAAACGCTCCCTAGTCAAACCCACCCAGAACTTTTCGGAGAATGTGAAGACTCCCCAACACATAAGCATTCTGCATTACCTAGATTGTCAAAAGGGCTGTATTCCATGGAGCAAACCCAGGTACTCTCCCAATATCAGTCAACAGATTGGGAGGTACCAAACCTAAGGCACCTAGAACAATGGGGAATAGGACAACTTGGTACTGTGGATGCAAGCGTGACATTTCGAAAGCGAGGTCCGCACATTTGCCATGTTTTTCATCAATCTTGTGTCAATCACATTAGTGTCAAAATGGACTGAAAATTCAATGATATAAATTATTTCATTGGATTTATAAAAAATGACAAGATCAGATTTGTTGGCCTGGACACGTCTGAGGCTGTATACGGGCCTATTCCAAAGAATTTTGTATTTATCAATTTCCATGACGCCCTCTACATATTCCGGGTCGTACCATGGATGGACCTCTGTGTCAAAACCACAAGCATTGCGAAGACGGTAATGAAAGGATCGAACCACTTCATTATGCCGCTTGAGATACCAAGCCAAGTGTTGGTGCCAAAGCTGGGCATCCACTGACAATGAGTTGGACAGTCTCATTAAATTCATTACATTCTTTACATTTCATATTTACATTTTGATGCAAAATCTTACATTGACGGTTTCGAGTTAGAAGTGACTGGTCCTGAGCAGCAAACAGAAAGCCTTCTGTGTCACTTTTCAGGCCAACTGACTTCATCCAAGTGAAGGACTCTGCAGGGTTGCTGATCTCCTCAACACACTGTACATAAACTCGATGCAGTGGTCGCCTTTCCTTGAAAAACTGAGTCTGGGCCGATTTGATATGGCACTTCGCCTGGTTGACACTCATTTCTGTACCGTCCAGCAGTACAGAACTAGCAACAAAATCAACACTGACATTGAGAGTATGTCCCACATACTTGGCTCGTTTAAGAAAACTGAGGAATGCCTTGTTTACATTATGGGTCATGACATGTTTCACAAGAGGATCATCAGACAAATAAATGTGTGCAAAAGTTCTCAATACAATTCTATCATGAAGAGCCCCAACGTTTATCAAACCACGCCCTCCCATAATGATTGGTAAATATACGCGATTGAGGGAAGAGCGTGGGTGGTGGGATGTATTGTCTAACATGATTCTTCGTGTGAGGTGTCAATACCCTGAATTTCCTGTTACGTCCAATCAACTGCACTAAACGAATATGAAAGGATGGGTATAGCATAAGTATTTGTGGCTTTAACTTTATTGCGAGCGTTCAGCTCTGAACTCCAGATTTTCCTAAGTCTTCATTTGTACTCTGCCCAAAGTCTTTCCTTGATATGGGCATTCTGGAGCTTGTCTCTAACCTGCATCAAGTAAACTGACTGATCCTCCATCTTCTACCTTGCCACGTTTCAGATGATGAATGTTGCATTTGTCGAGTCCAAAGGACATGCCAATATCATTAGAAAAGGGCTCGACAAGGAGAATCTGTTTTTTAGTGGCACTAACAGATCCTCCTCTGGTAATAAGTTCAAGGTCATCCATGTAAAGGAGGTGATTAAGGGGTGTTGGGGATCTGTGCTGAGGAGGTCCCGGAAGGATTAAGGCTTATAGGATTTTGTGACAAACAGAAAAGCAAAGGACTAAGAGAATCACCCTGAAATATTCCTCTTCTCATAGAAATGGATTCCGAAGTCACCACCTGCCCCTGCGAATACATCTCAAGTTGAGTTGACTAGTAATTCATTAAAGACTAAAACAAGTAGTCGCTCGGGGAGGTCAGTACATTCCAATGACTTCAAAATCCATTCATGAGGTACAGAATCATAAGCATTGAGGTCACGTTGGTAAGCTTTAGCCTCTTCAAGGATCATTTTCTGAACTGGCAATAGATCCTTGCAACCCCAACATGCCTCTGGCTCCTTTCTGCTCCATGTGAATAATGTCATTGGAAGCGCTTTATGATGACACAAGATCTGTAAGACACCCTGTGAATAGTTTGTAATGTGTATTCAGACAAGTTACAGGGCGGAAGTTTTTGGGATCAGCCAAATCACCTTTCTTTCGGTGAATTATTATTATAATTATTATTATTCAGTACTGTCCCGTGTGGGCCCATTGCGTCTGTGAAGACTCCTGGAACAACACCTACACGTGCATCAGACGGAGTGACGGAGAACAGAATATGAAATTCTGCCAGTTCGCCGATAGTGAGGTAAAACCTAGACAGGATCATGTTGCTATTTCAATATGAATCAAAACGTTAACGCCAGAGAATAATCAGTCTCGTTTATCTGCCGGAACAGATTCCATTGCGCGTAAAAGACAAAAAAAGTAGTGAAAATTATTTGTTATGAATGGATCTCAGAAAATCAGTGATGACACCAAGGGTAAGCATGCTCTAACAGCAGCAAAACGTCAGTTGTCTGAAAGTGTTTTAATAAATCCAACAAACAGCAACAACAAAAATTAAAGATTTGTAACAAAAAAATGAATAAATAATATTTGTACGAAGTATTTTCATGCTTTCGGAACACACTTATGATAATGAATTTATAAGATACGTAATTTGGGACGTATAATATTAGGCTAATTGCAATCTAAATAAACTAAAGAAGATGGTGTAAATTAGCATTTGGTTTCGATTTCATTACAAAAGTCATCGCAACCAATCATGTCTTTAAACACTTACGTTCTAGTCCTTTTTTCCATCTACAGTTCACTGTCATATAGCGGTAATGTTTCGGACATTCATATTTGACAACATTTACCCCAATCCCGTGTTTAGCGTACCATATTCTCACACATTTTATTGATATTAATATTATTCCATTCATATAATTGTCACCACTATTTTGCCATTTACTCCCAATGAAATCTGCTTGGCAGATATTCGAGTCTGGATATTCTTTTGCGTTGACGTTTAATATTAACACAGCCTGTATTTGTGCTCTGATGCCAACTGTCACCGTTTCTTTCAGAGTTTTGAGGAGATGTATGATCTGAGCCGCGACCACTATGAGCTGATGAACATCGCAAAGTCTCACCCCGAGGAGAGATCCCAGCTTCTGGATGCCATGTCTCGCCTCGTGGCTTGCAATGGCGCCTCATGCCGTTCTCCGCAAGCAAATCTCAGTTGAATTGTGTGGGATCTGTTGAGGTGTATCCATAATGTAATGAACATTTTGTGAATGAATAAAGAACGAACAAACTGGTATTAATCTTTTTTTTACAAGTCTTCTCTGTAAAAATTTATTTAGATCTAAACACCAAATTAAACACGTTCCTTGTCCCGTAGACCGCCTCTGTGGTCTAGTGGTAGAGCGTCCGCCCGGAGAGCGGAAGGCCCGGTGTTCGATCCCCGGCCGCGTCATACCAAATGACGTTAAAAAATGGTACTTGTTGTTACCCTATCTGGCGCTCGGCATTAAGGGGCTAAAACAAGGACTGGTCTGTATACTGTGTCTGAGTGGGATATTCATGTTAAACTCGCCGCATGGTATCTCAGTGAGCTAGCACTATAAATCAGCATCAGTCCGGACAAGTATAAGCAGCCACACACACACTATATACATGCTATATAAGTGCAATAATCTTGGACGCGACGTTAAACCCCATTACACTTCCACCACCCCAGGGGGGCACGGGTGGCCCAGTCGTCTAAAGCGCCGCGATTCGCTGTGCAGAGTTGCGTCCCTTGAGCACGCCAGAAACCTATGATTGTGGGTTCGAATCCCGGTTCGCCCCGATTATGTTTCTAGGTTTGTCAGCACCATACCCGTGCTCGTGGGTTTCACCGAAGTGGTAAACGTCTGAGACCTGCATCACTTCGGGCTTTCCTCCCACATTAAGCTGACACGCCATGATATAACTGGAATACTGTTAAAAGCGGCGTTAAACCCAACTCACTCACACTCAACCACCCCCGCCCGCCCGTACCTTAATACGTAGGCCGTCATTGCAGGTAATTTAAAAAGGGGTCTCTCTCTATGGGTTTCGCTGTGCGTCTCTGAGTGCCCGCCAGGCTCAAGGTTCTCCCTCGTACTGATCCTGGTTTTGTCAGCAATATACACGTGCCAATGGGTGAGTTAGTGATTGAGTTTGCTTTAACGCCGCTTTTAACAGTATTCCAGTTATTTCACGGCATGTGAAGGAGGAAAGCCCGAATTGATGGAGGTCATAGGTTTCTGGGGTACCCAAGGCACACAACTATGCACAGCGAATCGCGGCGCCTTAGACGACTGGGCCACCCCTGACCCCGGTATCGACAAGGCCATCGGTGTCCACAACCTGAGTCACCTCCTGTCTTCTTTCAGTGGCGTAGCTACCAGGTAGCACTAAAAAACAAGTGGAAAACACGGTGCTTGGATGCGTGGGCGATGGATGGGCGGTTCGTGATGGCTATAGGACGCCAAGGCTGTTTTAGACACAAAAGACTGTATTTCTGTTGGTCAAACCTATCGTCAACACTCCTGGCTGGGGGCTGGTAAAGGAAACGAAATCAAATATAACAAAAGTGGAATTAAACAACGAAACGAAATAATAGACATTTGGGCTCTAAAAGCTTTCCGATACAAGTGCTTACACTTTGAAATCGTTACAAAATGAAATCAAATAATTTAAAAAAACAAACATTTGTTACAGTTACATGTTCTTTCGTTAATTTTCAAGTTGACCTGCCTACCAGTGTCAAAATTGTCGGTGATGAGCTTGTTCGATGTTGTTTGGTTGTTACGTTACCTTTCCCCTTTTTGCGAACACTTGGTGTCATAACTGATTTTCAGAGTTCCATTTATATTTTTTCACAGCTGTTTTGCCTGTTATGCCAAATGGAATCTGTTTCGGTGGCCAGGCTGGAGTGGTTATTCTCAAGTATTGAAAATTAATATTTTATGAAGAAATCTGGGTTTAACTGTTTTATACTTAAAATGTGTTATGTTCAGAACGTGGTAAGGATATTTCGTGATATCTCTGTTTTAGAAATGTTGCAAGGCCTACTTGTGCTTGTGTTTAATAACCGTTATGTATGTTTAAGAAAACTAAGTACTGCAATATGATTGCTTACATTTCAATTTCCCCTAGCTACGCCCCTCTCCTCCCAGAACAAAATGAAATACTGTTTAAACCGGCGTTAAAACCTAGGCGAGTAAGGGTGTAGTTCTGACAAACCTGGTAACCTACTCAGGGCGAATCCTGCATTCGAAACTACTAACCTGAGTTTCTTGCACGACAAAGGCACCTAACTCAGAAACGCCTGTTGTAACCCTGCCTGGTGCTCGGTGATAAAATAAGGACTGGCCGGCTTGGAGTTAGTATATTGTTAAACTGTATACATGTTAAACTGCTGCGAAGTATCTCATGATCAGTAGCCTGACATCACAAAACCAACATTTGTCTGGACTAGTACAATAGTGCAATAATCTTACATGCGACGTTAAATCCCATTTCACCTCAACTATATTAGCACAACCTGCTAAAGTGTATGTAGAGCCATAAGCATTAAAGTTGATAAGGAAATCCTGTGCATAATACGAAGGCTTGTCAAATACTTCTAAGCCTAACAAACAAAACCAACAATTGTGAAAGTGTTTTTAATTTTATTTTTCAACATTATATGCTTTTCAATTCACTTCTCATATTTTCAAATCCCGTCAGGAAGAAGTTTTCTGAAGCCACCATGAAAAACCCATTCACGGCAGCTTTGAGGTCATCGTTGTCGTCATGGCTCTTTCCACGAAGGTGTTCCTTCAGTTTAGGAAACAGGTGGAAATCACTTGGTGCCAAGCCTGGCTAGTATAGAGGGTGAGGAAGCTTTTCGAGCCAACATTGTCGCACAGTCGAGAGGTGTGAGAAGAGACATTGTCATGAAATAGTAGAACTCCAGCAGTCAGCATTTCTTCTTTGATAGAATCTCTCAGGTGATGAAGCAAATCAGGTGATGATGCAAATAGGCACCGGTAATCGACTTTTGATTTTCTAAGTATCAACAAGGAGCATACTCTTTGCATCCTAGAATACAGTGGCCATAACTTTCTTCACTGATCTTGAAGACTTTAATTTCTTTGGTGCCGAAGAAGTGGAATGGTGCCATTCCAGGCACAGACGTTTTGACTCGGAATCATAGTGGAAGATCCATATTTCACCACCCGTTACTAATCTCTTTTTGAATTTGACGAAATCCTCCTCAATCAGCTCTAAATTTTCTCGGCAATGTCAATTCTTTTTTCCTTAACATCAGAATTTAGAAACTTTGGCCCCCAACGAGCAGATATCTTATTCATCTGTAAATGTTCAGTTGATCCATGGCTTAGACCTGTGTCTTCCTCAAGTTCAGCAATGGTAATACGCCTGTCTGACAGCATTTCTATCGCCTTGATTGAATCTTCATTGATAAAAGTTGAGGGACGTCCAGACCTAAGGTCATCATCAATGCTTGTTCTCCGAGCCTTGAACATAGCTGCCCAACGTTTAACAGTGGAATAGCTAGGGTACTTATCCAAATACACTTGTGACATGCGGTCATGAATTTCTTGGGGAGGACTTTTCTCTGAAGTAAAAAACTTGATGACTGCTCGGTACTCGATCCTTTCCATTTCTGTGTCCATTTGGACCAATATCACGTTCAACAGGGTGTCACTAATGTACAAACGATCTCAACAGACCAAATACACTTGCAATGAACTAATCAAAGTAGTACTACATTGACTAGTTCACTTTGTTATGGGACCCGTGAAGATTCCGGGGTAGAATAGGTCTTCAGCAACCCATGCTTGCCGTAAAAGGTGACTATGCTTGTCGTAAAAGGCGACTAACGGGATCGGGTGGTCAGGCTCGCTGACTTGGTTGGTGCATGTCATCGATCCCAGTGGCGTGGATCGATGTTCATGACATTAATCACTGGATTGTCTGGTCTAGACTCGATTATTTACAGACCGCCGTCATATAGCTGGAATATTGCTGAGTGCGGCTTTAAAAACAAACCAACCAACCAACCAACTTTGTTATGGCCCATAGTTGAAAACTAGACCGGCTTAGAACTTTTTGACCAGCCCTCGTAAATTGACTTCCTATAACAACACATAAACCAACCAAAAGCAAGTACATTGTAACTAACTTCGGTTGAACGAAGAGCGGTAAAACCATTTGATATAGAGAGTAATTCAAGCAGCAAGATTCGTTCCCTATGCAGTGATTGAATCTTATTATCGCACTTCACAACGAACCTCTTTTAAGAACTATACTATTGTTCTGCAACTGAAAAATAAACCACCAAGGACATCAAGTCATCACGGAAACGCCATATGATGAACACGTCGTGTCTTTGACTTAAACCATTATCGATAAGGTGACACTGATACAGGCGGTGTCAAGGGAATCTTTAAATAGCACAATTTCTACATGACTATGCGGAATCCCGGCTTCGTATCTCAGACAGGATTTACACTACTTTGAGTCAGGCTTTCAAAAGTATAATCGTAGATATGTGGAGGACATTTCTAGATTTGACGCATCCGTGATAACAGTGATGCTCGATGCATTTCCCAGTTTTGACATGTACCATATGTTCCCGTGTCTTTGTAGATGAACAATTTACTTGCCCTTGCATGTGTGTGTGACGGGTTCCACCGGTGGGGCAGGATACGCTCATCTGGTATCATCACTATTTGATAGAGTTTCATAAACGCATGCTAGTCGAATCGAAGAATTGACTCTTGCTTTTAATAAGTATAATCTTCACATTTCTGCATGCTCTCGTTTTGGATTCCGTTTAATGTCATGTATTTTTGTCATGTGTGTAGACTTGATGCTGCGTCATCTTTTTTATCTTTGTCGTAGATAAGCTGCCCAAGACAACGTGGGTTAAATAAACGTGTAAGAGATATGAAGAGAGTACTTTATCAGGCTGAAAAGTGGGACACGCTGGTTGTAGGTTAAACCACGAACCATGGTGGACGTCAAATTCATATATGGCGTATTGGCCATTTTGTACGTGTCAAATACCGTTACGGGAAAACCTCCGAATATTGTCTTCATATTGACAGATGACCAAGATTCTGAGATCGGTGGAATGGTAGGTTTGTTTTGATGGTTACCGTTCTTGGTTGTACAAAGGACTGGGTTTTACTTACTTCACACTAATGTATACTGACAGCAAGAAATAAGGGAATAGATTAGGAATTATTATACGGGAAATATATAGACATGTTTATGTTAATGAAGCAGCCCATAATATCAACATTCTGTGTTTTGTTGATATGAGTGAGTGAGTTAGAAGATGAACCTACTGTGTTTTGAAATTAGAGGTAGTATAACGGATTGATACTGGCTCTAATGTTATATTTAGAGCTAGTTTAAATCCGTTGTACCTCTAATTTCAAAACACAGTATATTGTTTGGAACTCTTTCATAGCATAGGTGTCAATACGTGATGAGACCTCGAATTCCAATCTCAAGTGGTATCGCCCGGATATACCTCTGACTGACTTTAACTGACCAATCAGTGTCTTCTGTAACCTTTATTACAGACACGTGAGGGAGGTAAATAAGTGTTCACGGCAAACACCCGGGTTCGATTCCCTTTGAGGCTACAATCTGTCCAGGTCATTCGTGATGTCCCCCGCCGTGACATGGCGGGGATATGTCGATATAAAGCGTAAAACAACGATAACACATTCGTTTCAGACGCCCATGGTGAAAACGAAGAGGCTCATAGCAAATAAAGGAATGACATTTGAAAACATGGTAAGACGATATACTGTGATTTTGTGATTTTTAAACAAAAATTAAAATGTCAAAAACAAAAGCGAAAATGTCAAAAACTAAAATGAAAATACAAAAAACTATTTCCACCACGGTGATAATATTACAAAACGCGGTGAAAAAGGTTTTCTGTATTTTCATTTTAGTTTTTGACATTTTCGCTTTTGTTTTTGACCTTTTCGTTTTTGTTTTTGACATTTCCATTTTTGTTTTTGACCTTTTCGTTTTTGTTTTTGACATTTCCATTTGAGTTTTTGACATTTTCGCTTCACATTTCAGCGATTCAATAGCTACTTAAAAGTACATTTTCCATGTTTTCGGTTGTTTTTATACATGATTTATCACTTATTTGTATGACAAATTGTGTTAATTTGCAAAAGGTTACGATAAAAGTAAGTGAAATATCAAATTATTCTATTCCCTTATGGGCCACCGTACCGTTGTGGGTCATATAAACATTAGTTACACATGACTATTTAATCCGGCAATTTTTCCAGATTATGTCCTTGGCGGTATTGCAATATACTTGTTATCTTTTATAAACTCGAATTTCAGATAATCGTATTTCTATCACTAACAGTTTGTGGGAACACCGGTGTGCTGTCCCAGCAGATCAAGTATTTTCACAGGGAAGTATTTGCATAATCACCTGGCAATAAACAACAGCGTAGAGGGAAACTGCAGCAGCCCCGACTTTCAAAGAACACAGGAAATCAACGCATTCCCTGTCTTCATGAAGCAGCAAGGTTATTCCACTTTCTTCGCTGGAAAATACCTCAATGATGTAAGGATGCATATATCATAATGATATTACGAACCGTTTGTTTTCATTTTTCACTTTACTTCATTTATGACCTGGTTTGTCTACTTATTCCAAGGGAGAGATGCGGTCGTTTTGGCTTACATGTAGAGGAACCACGGGTGGTCTACGGCCAGTAACTAACTGTGAAGGGTTACACCCCTCATTAGTTCTCGACATTTGTTTATTTTAAGACCAATATTTCATTGACAGCACAATGTTAAAAGGGAGGTAAGCACGGCTGTGTGGTATGATGGAACACAATCAACTATGTATTGACTAAATTCAGTACCGATAGTAATGTAGCCTGTTTTTATGATGATACGACGTCGACATTGCAGTATGGTGAGGATAATACGGGTGGAGTGCAGCATGTACCCCCAGGATGGGACTCGTGGGTCGGCCTGGTGAGTACGTAGGTATATTTACCGTGTGCCTGATGAGTTCGTATGTTTATATACATTGGTCCTGGTGAGTACGTATGTTTGTATACATTGGTCCTGGTGAGTACGTATGTTTGTATACATTGGTCCTGGTGAGTACGTATGATTATATACATTGAGTGAGTGAGTTTGGTTTTACGCCGCTTTTAGCAATATTCCAGCAATATCACGGCGGGGGACACCACAAATGGTTATATACATTGGTCCTGGTGAGTACGTATGTTTATATACATTGGTCCTGGTGAGTACGTATGTTTGTATACATTGGTCCTGGTGAATACGTATGTTAATATACATTGGTCCTGGTGAGTACGAATGTTGCCCTCTACATATTCTGGGTCGTACCATGGGTGGACCTCTGTGTCAAATCCACAAGCATGGCGAAGACGGTAATAAAATGATCGAGCCACTCCATCATGTCGCTCAAGATACTGTGTTTGTGCCAAAGCTTGGCATCCACTGACAATGTGTTGGACAGTCTCAATAAATTCATTGCATAATCTACATTTCATATTTACATTTTGGTGCAAAATCACACATTGACGGTTTCGAGCGGGAAGTGACTGGTCCTGAGCAGCCAACAGAAAGCCTTCTGTTTCACTCTTTTCAGGCCAGTCGACTTCACTCAAGCGAAGGACTCTGCAGGGTTGCTATACTGCACATAAACTCGATGTAGTGGTTGTTCAGATAGCCTCTCCTTGAGTCGGAGCCGATTTGATATGGCACTTTACTTTGTGACACTCATTTCTGTACCGTCAATCAGTACAGAACCATCACCAAATCAAACACTAACATTGAGATTATGTCCCTAACGTTTACGAAAACTGTGGAATGCCTTGTTTTCATCATAAGTCTTGACATGCTTCACAATAGGATCATCAGACAATTCTACCATGAAGAGCCCAAACGTTTATCAAACCACGCCCTCTCATAATGATTAGGAAATAGAAGCGATTGAGGGAAGAGCGAGGCTGGTGGGATCTATTGTCTGACATGATTCTTCGTGTGAGGGTGTCAATACCCTGAATTTCTTGTTTCGTCCAATAAACAACACCAAAAGAATATGGAAGAACGGGTACAGCATCAGTATTTAAGGGTTATTATTATTATTATTATTATTATTATTATTATTATTAATCTTATTATTTCAGGTTGGCAACTCTGTCTATTACAACTACAACCTGTCAATCAACGGAACTAGGGAGACTCATGGTTCCAATTACACTAAGGACTATCTGACGGATGTGATCGTAACTATCGTTATTAACTGTCGTATTAGATTTCAAGTAAAGAAGGTCATCCAGCAATAGCCAAATGCTTGACGACCTTAAGTAACCCGCATGGAATTGCTGTGGAAGCTTTCTGATGTAGTTATGTCAGGGTGCACAGGTGTAGTCTGGTTTCATATGCAAGAAGTAATTCAGTTCCTACTAACTGAAACAATGACTGTGTTTCAGTGATCCATTCATATAATTTTCATAACTCTTTTGCCTTTTACGCCCTTGGAATCTGCTTCAACTGATAATCGAGACTGATTATGATCTGGCTTTGCCTTTTTATATATACAAAGAGAGTCATACATACAGCAGCTTATGATGAAAGATTATTTACTTGCGTGTAAAGAGATGCTGACTTTAAGAAATGAACTTTGGAAATTATGTTTATTTATATTGCACTGTATATATGCAACAGAACAATTTGCAGGTTCGGGCAATCTTTTTCTTATTTCCCACATTAAGCATAGGCGCGGCATGGAGTTTCTAGGCAACCAGAATGACGACAAACCCTTCTTTATGATGCTGTCCACCCCGGCATGCCACGAGCCCTGGACGTCTGCACCCCAATACAAGGATCTCTTCTCGGACGTTGTGGCACAGAGAACAGGATCTTACAACACTCATGGCAAGGTCAGGTTCCACCTGTGTGTCAACGCACAATTAAATACGAATAAACTCGAAGGGATTCAGAGTGAATAAGTGCCCAGTACCCCATGCTCTTCGTAAAAGACATGCCTTGGGGTTTCCGGGAAGGAATAGGCGCCCTATATACAATGTTTGTCGGAAGAACCATCCTGTAGGGATTAGGTGAAGAATACATCCGTAGTACCCCATGCTTGTCAGAGCCACCCCGTGTAGTTTCGGGGATGAAAAGGACCCCAACACCCCATGCTTGTTAGAGCTTCCCCGTGTAGTTCTGAGGATGAAAGGACCCCAATACCCCATGCTTGTTAGAGCCACCTCGTGTAGTTCTGAGGATGAAAGGACCCCTATACCCCATGCTTGTTAGAGCCACCTCGTGTAGTTCTGAGGATGAAAGGACCCCAATACCCCATGCTTGTTAGAGCCACCCCGTGTAGTTTCGGGGAAGAAAAGGATCCCAATACCCATGCTTGTTAGAGCCACCCCGTGTAGTTTCGGGGAAGAAAAGGATCCCAATACCCATGCTTGTTAGAGCCACCCCGTGTAGTTTCGGGGTTGAAAAGGACCCCAATACCACATGTTTTGCGTAAGAGCCAACCCGTATGGTTTAGGGGATGAAAAGGACCCCAATACCCCATGCTTGTTAGAGCCACCCCGTGTAGTTTCAGGGATGAAAAGGACCCCAATACCCCATGCTTGTTAGAGCAACCCCGTGTAGTTTCGGGGATAAAAAGGACCCTATACCCCATGCTTGTTAGAGCCACCCGTGTTGTTTCGGGGATAAAAAGGACCCCAATACCCCATGCTTGTTGGAGCCACCCCGTGTAGTTTCGGGGATGAAAAGGACCCCAAAACCACATGTTTTGCGTAAGAGCCACCCCGTCTAGTTTCGGGGATGAAAAGGACCCCATACTCCATGCTTGTTAGAGCCACCCGGGTAGTTTCGGGGATGAAAGGACCCCAATACCCCATGCTTGTTAGAGCCACCCCGTGTAGTTTCGGGGATTAAAAGGACCCTATACCCCATGCTTGTTAGAGCCACCTGTGTTGTTTCGGGGATGAAAAGGACCCCAATACCCCATGCTTGTTGGAGCCACCTCGTGTAGTTTCGGGGAATAATAAGTCCCCAGGATACAACGTTTGTCGCAAGAAGCATTCGGTATGGAATAGGCGAAGAATAGGTACACAGTATTCCATGCTGTTGTCGCAATATCTGACTAAATTGGCTAGGTTTGAAGCCTTTGCAGATGCACGTACCAAAGACTGTGATTGTGGGTCCGTATCCCAAATTCTTCCTGATTATGTTTCTAGCTTTGTCAGCTCCATGTCGGTGCTCGTGGGGTTCACCAAAGCGGTAATGGTCCAAGGACTTATCACTTCGGGCTTTGCTCCTAAAACAAGCTGACACTAGTGCTCAAGGCGACGATAAACCAGACTCTCTAATTGTATACATTCAAGTAATTCAACTTCTTTATGAAGTACGAAGTTCGTCAAGAGCAATTGGCGTATAAAGGCGGAATAGATGTTTCTACATTCGTAAAATGTATATTTTTAAAAGATTTAGTTTCTCCAAAATGATGCTTTAAAAAAAGACACGATATTACTATAAATTTTATATAATACACATTTGTACATAACTGCATATATAATATCTCGTTATATCATCAAGTGTCAGTGATGTTAATGTATTGTAACACAATGATTTTATTTCAGGACAAGCACTGGCTCATTGATCAAGCAATAACGCCAATCCCTAACGATACTGCTACGTATATTGATGGTATATATAGAAACAGGTACGTTACATAGCAGCAACAGCAACACTGGGGGACACACTGTTTATTCACAAGTAAGCAACATTTCAGTCAAGGGATGTCTTAAGACTAATATATAGTCTTTGGTACATTTTATTGCATAATACAGTTCTCCAGATGCTGATTTGTGGAAAAGAGATGAATAGAATGCTTTTTAGATTGATTTTTAAAATACATATATTTCGCAGTCGTGGGGCAGGACTAGGTGTTTTTATTAGGTTTTTAGTGATACAAGACTGTATTTATCTCACAGTATAAAATCGATATTTTACTCGAGTGAAAAAACATTTAATACCGGAACTACTTCCTGTCTGCCTCAATGTCACTATGGTTTTAATAGTAAGACCATGAACGCATAAGATAATGCATTTGTCTATTTATTTCATTTCATGATCTCAAAAGTTGTCGGGCGTATGAGTGGCCCAGTTGCCTAAGACGCTGCAGTTCGCTTTACACAATTGCGTCCAGTGAACACGCCAGAAACATTATCCTTGGTTCGAATCCCAGTTCTCCCGGAATATGTTTCTGGGTTTGTCAGCACCATACCTGAGCTCATTGGTTTCACCAAAGTGGTTAAAGTCTGAGATCTGCATCACTTCGGGCTTTCCTCTCACATTAAGCTGACACGCTGTGATATAACTCGAATACTGTTCAAAGCGGCGTTAAACCCAACTCACTCACTCACTCACTCAAAAGTTGGCATTTCCACTCGTGGCGACACTCAGGTCACTCGATGAAAAAAACCTCATTTAATGCGATTACACCTGATATGAATAATCACGTGATTAAAGATGGCGTACTCTGATGTCCGTTGACGATATGGTGGAAGATGTTGTCAGCACGTTGTTGAAGAAGTTCAGCCTTGACAACACGTACATATTCTTCTCCTCTGATAATGGATATCATATAGGCAAGTATTTTGTCGTTGGTTTGTTGTTAAAGCCGATATTCAAGCTATATAAAGGCAGCCTGAAAATAACAGAGTAAACCATACAAACTAGTGGTTGATATTATAAGCAACGTTTCGCGGTTTCCGGGTACGATGAGAAGCCTCACCACCCGATCTGTGGCGCTCACCACCCGATCCATTTGGTCGCCTCGTACGTCAAGCAAAGGTGATTGTGGTCCTTTTTTTTAATAGGACCACAATTAGTGATTTTTAATAAGTAAATTAATATATCCATAGTGCCAGGCTCATTCAAATCAGATCTTTTTACTACAAACAATAAGACAGCTCTTTTCATGAACGAGGTCAACGTCAGGTCAACGTCGTAATCAGCCAATAAACGTCGAGGCTTCTAAATGCTCAGTATGTGCGAACGAAGCATTCAGAACAACATAACATGTTTCTGTATCTTGAAAACGAACATAAGCGGGCGGTTCCGAATGCAAAATGAAAAAGACGACCCTAGTTTATTGACGTTGATATTTTATGCACCCTGTCACGTGTGCGATATGGCATTTACAGCCCCAAAGGGTGAATTGCCGAGGGTGATTTTGTGTTATGTGTATGTGTGTTTTCCTTTGTTAATATCGAAATTAACGAATGGAGGTGGTAAAGAATGAATCTGAAGTGTTTTAGAAAGTTGACATCTGCTGGTTCAAGAAACCAAGCGTTTAGATTGACGCTTAAAGCTCACCTGACGCGACCATTTCTTGTCGATCTGCAACCAGAGAGGTACCTAACGGGGTATAAGATCTCATTTCAATGGAATTGTACATGTTGCTAAAACTTGTTTATAGGTCAGTTTTCAATGCCGATGGACAAGCGAAACCTTTATGAGTTTGATGTTCGAGTGCCACTGCTAGTTCGAGGTCCCGGGATACGCCCCCGCTCAGTCAACAAGGTCAGTGCCAAGGGGTGTGGTGGGGTGAAATGAGGTTTAACGTCGCGTTCAAGATTTATGCACTTATATAGACACGTCAGATCAAAGGCGGACCAATTAAAGCGTCGCGATTAGCGGATCACGGTTGTGTCCCTTATTAATGCCAGGATCTGTTGATCGTAGATTCAATTCCTATTTTCGAATTAATGATGTTTGGTGTGTCAGCACCATACATACGCTAGTGGTGTGACAATACTGGTACAAGTCTTCCACTGGTCAATGCCATGGTCACGCGACGTTCAAAGCAGCGTCAAAATCAAACTCACTCACTCGTCACATCAAATCAGTCATTGAACATACTAACCTGTTCATGAATTATCTCGAAACAAGCTTGTCATATTTGTGTGTGGATCAAGTGAATTCACTCTTCTTATAACTAGAGGTATTCAAAGGTTGTGCTCCTCTTTCTAGGACAATGTGTTAAACATCGACTTTGCTGCGACTTTCATGGACCTGGCCGGAGCGACGATCCCCGACTACATCGACGGCATGTCCATCGTGCCACTGCTTCACGACAATGCCAAGGAGCCGTTCAGGATTCATTTTCTCACCGAGTATCACGGAGAATCCATTCAAACAAACCCCGGTTGTGCTCAGTACGACAATCAAGGCATTGCCGTACGTTGTCAAACTCTTAGTTATTCTGGGTGGCATTGCCCAAAAGCAAATTAAGCCATTCGAAAGAGACGACCAAATGGATGGTGGTCAGGCACGGTGACTTGTTTGATAGCGTGTCATCGTCTTTGTCTTTTTGTTGTTTAATACCACACTCAGCAATATTCCAACTATATGACGATATTCTGTAAATAATGAAGTGGGCCAAGCATTCCAGTGACTAACACCATTAGCAGTTGGCATACGATGGCATGAATGAACCAAGTCAGCGACCCTGACCGCCCGATCCGATTAATAGTCGCCTCTTACGCCAAGCACGGGTGGATCGTTGCCAGCAATATCAATAACTGGTTTGTCTGGTCCAGACTCGATTGTTTACAAACGGCCGTTATATAGCTGAAATATTGCAGCATTGCAAACAACATACACAATCTTAAGCGTCAAATTCAATTTCTTTTTCGTATTTTGAACATTTTGTCTTGGCATCAAAGGTTAGTAAGTGTTGTTGGTGAGTGAATTCGGGTGAACGCCGTCTTAAACACTGCTTCACGCCGTTATCACATTCTGGTTAGGTTAAAGGAGTGTACTGATAACGAGTTGTTTATTGTTTTTAAACTATTTCGACAAATCAGCACTTCATGTCAATTGAAGAAAATGTTTGTGGCGTACAACAACATTCATTCATGAAAGTAATTTATCCTGACCTTTGATAATAAACTATTTATAGAAACGTGTATGTTTTAGTATTGCCACACCTATGCCCACTGTCAGTGCGAGGACGCTTGGAACAACACCTTTACCTGCGTCAGATACAACGACGGCCATCAACATTATAAATACTGTGAGATCGCCGACAACGACGTGAGTATTGACTGGAATATCTACTCTCGGAGACTTATAAACGCACGCAGCCACGCACTCACGCACACACACACGAACACAGAAGAAACCTATGATCGTGGGTTCGAATTCCGGTTCGCCCTGATTATGTTTCTAGGTTTATCAGCACCATAACAGCGCTCGTGGGTTTCACCAAAGTGATAAACGTCTGAGACCCAGGGCTCTTCTCTCACATCAAGCTGACACGCCGTGATATAGCTGGAATACTGTTCGAAGTCGCGTTAATCACAACTCACAATCAGTCAGTATGGTAAAACCGGTGAGACTATCGTTTTATTTTATTTTGGACACAAATGTACCTATGAAAACAAATTATTGATTATTGATTCTTGGGCCAAAGTACGTTTTAGTCATAAGCGAATTCTAACTGGTTTTTAGACAAGACAAAGGGGGGCGAGTCGTATTGCAGGTTACGGAAAGGGGCGAGTGGTGACAAATAAAAGGAAAAGTTTACAAAGTAAAACAGATTCATTCATATAAAAATAAACAGATATATAAATAACAGATCTCTACGAAGAGCAGGGTCCATGAATTATCAGCATCATACCCGTGCACTTTGGTTTCAGCAGCGTAAATGTCGGAGACCCGTGTCACTTTAAGCGCTTGATACAACTAGAAAAATGTTAAACTCACTCACGCATTATTTCAGAACTTTGTTGAGATGTACGATCTCGAGAGAGACCCCTACGAGTTCATGAACATTGCCAAGACTGCCGACCCTGACCTTGTCAACCAGCTCAAGTCAAATCTCGCCCAACTCTCGCAATGTGTCGGGCCATCGTGTCATGGGAATACAAAGCTACTTAAACCTAATTTACTTATTTAATTTGAGAGATGTCGAATTTAAACATTCATTAAATATATCATACGTCTTTTTTTTGGTGTCTTTGTTTCTTAACATCATTATTTGATGCCACTGCCGTGACCAATACTGTCCACAGATACATCCAAGTATCTGCTAGGTAGTTGCGGGTATGAATCTCAGGTTCACCTGCAATAATGATCATCCTTGAAATGTCAGCACCATATGCAGGTTTGGGCCTTGTTCTTCTTGACAATTATGCTTTTGCTGCTTCTTAAACACCGAGAGGCGGAAAACTCGAAAGAACAGCATTGCTCTCGTATTCCAGCTTGTCGGCTCTTCTTTTGAAGGCTGAAACGCTCAAAAGATCAAAATCGCTCTCGTATTCCAGGTTTGTATCTCAAATTCAAGAAAATGAAAATCTAATTTCAGTTTGTTTAAATGTTTAACGCCACACTCAGCTGTATGATGGCGGTCTGTAAATAATCACGTCTTCGACCAGACAATCTAGTGATCGATATTGTGAACAACGCCGAGTGTGTTCGATGACAGGCAATCAACTGAGCCTGATCACCCGATCGCCTCTTACAACCAGCATAGGTGCCTTGGCGCCTATATTCTTTCGCGGAACCCATACGGAACTGTTTGTTTGTCAGGCTCGGTGGATTGGTTGAGCGTTTTGTTTGTTTGCTTGTTTAACGCCACATATAATCATCTAGCAGACGCATATAAAGTAGGATAATTTAAGGCTTTTGACCGCCATCGCCGCCGACCGTTTTGTTTGACCCCACTCAGAGCGTGACATCAAGGAATATCACATGCATATCTCCACGATGACTGCGACGTTAAACAAATACAATGTGTATAGAAGACAACGTGGTTAAACCCTTGTTCCCCATTATGGTGCAATGTGTGAAGATCGTTATATTTTTTTATTTCTAAAAGCGGGGCGGTTGGATAGCCCAGTGGTTAAAGCGTTCCCTCGTCACGCCAAAGACCCGGGTTTCTTTACCCGACATGGGTACAATGTGTGAAGCCCATTTCTGGTGTCTCCCGCCGTGATATTGCTGGAATATTGCTAAAAGCGGCGTAAAACCATACTCAATCACTCACTCAATTATTTCTAAAAGCGAAATAAAGCCTTAACTCACTCGCTATCTCGAAATTCAAGGTCCACAAAGTGCGCGTGAAACGGTGATTTTAGCACAAGGGAAAACATTCCCTGTTTCACTCGAAGAGGGCCCGGAATACCATGGCGCATACATATCCAAATGCATGGACGTGCATGTAGTCCAAAAGTACTACAGAGAGCTTGGTGTTATTCTCCAGCAGAATGAAACTCCCCATCCAACTGTCACCCATGTTTCTAAAAGATCTGGAACATGAATGAGAGTGGGTATTTTTTAACATTACCCCACAAAAGTATTAGGGCAAAAAAACACCCAGCACTTCACGGGAAAACGTCACTGTCTGTGTTAGTGCTAAGGCATGCCGCCGATCTTTGTTTGCAGGGAGGAAAAAACAGCGACTATTGTTGTCATTCCATCCATCAGATGGCCCCACAGGGGCCTTCTGGACTACTCAAGAAAGGGGCTGGAGGGAAGACGCATGAGTTGCTGAAGACCTATTCTACCCTGGATCATCACGGGTACATCATAGTTTTAGGACTGCCCCTTCATTGTAGTCTGTGGCTCAGAGGTTATGAGTGGTTAAAGTTCACGGGCATTTCACCGCACAACCAAGCCTATATACCTGACGATGCCTTTGCTCCTTGTTTCGATGTCACTCGTAGTTCATGGGTTCCTTTGTTTGCAACAAGCACAGTGTCTGTGGCAACATCAACACACGTGATAGAATTCGCAGCTTCTGCCACCATTATATCCAAGGATATACTGCAGCTCACACCAAGTGTGCCCACAAACACAACAAGCACAGTGTCCGTCGCCCCAGGGTCTATCATCTCCGAGTCATAAGCCACCATTACATACGCGATATACTGCAGCTTACACCAGATTTGTCCTAAAAAACACAGAGCCCATTGCCCTACGCCCCAGGGTCTAACATCTACAAAACAGAAGCCGCATCACACACACACAACCTGTCAACACGCAAGTACATCACCACCATGCCCCAGAGTCTGCCACCCAACATCTCTGCACTATTACCATTTAAGGGTTGTGGTGACACCATTCCCGTTATCACAGACCCAGCAACTGTTCAGACATTATTGAGTGTTATCACAAATACAAAAACACTCAGATACTTGATCTAATGCCTGAACATGTTACTTGGTCTCTTGATGACAAGTTGTCCCGTGAAGATCCGGGTTAGCATTGGTCTTCAGCAAACCATGCTTGTCAGAAGAGGCGACTAACGGGATCGGGTGGTCAAGCTCGCTGACTTGGTTGATGCATGTCATCGTATATCAATTGCACAGATCGATGCTCGTGACATCAATCACTGGATTGTCTGGTCCAGACTTGTTTATTTACAAACGGCCGTCATATATCTACAATATTGCTGACTGCGTCGTTAAACAACAATCAAATAAACAAACAAAACATAGTCAACCAAGTCACCGTGCCTGACAAACATACAAATCCATATGATAGCGGCGTTAAACAACAAACAAGCATCATTGTTCCGCATCTACAACACTTACATCCACAGCACCATGCCGCTTGAATTACGCGTCGGGGTAGAATGAAACACTGTCAACCAAGTATCAGGGCCAGACCACCAGCTCTCCTGCCATCAGCATATAGATCATGAGTTAGTTCACTTGTTATTCTATAAACTATTTTACACAATACCCGAATGTCGACACTTGTTATCCTTATCACAGAAAATCACCTTCCATGCAGCCATATATCAAATATAGACTTTTACGACTGTCTAAGGACACGCATAAAAATCTTTTCTAGGTCAGAATAAAAGTACTTAAACAAACCAAGCATAACGAACAACAGAATACATGGGAGAATAAAACCAATACAAGTTTTATAACCAAAGACCTTTACACATTATGCTGTATTCTTGTTCTGACAGGGTGTGTTGCTTACATTCCGTCATACTATTTAGTATATAGCTCTGTACTGGGATAGGCAATGTAAACTATGTCACTCCTCGTCCTCGCTGTAGCGTTGGTGCAACCTCACCACGTCAGTATGTGCTAATTCATATGTTTGTGTGGCGGTTCACGACTACATGACGGTGGCATGTAAATAGTCGAGTCCGTATGAGGCGCAGTGGGCTTTTTACTATTCATTCGTTATTGTCTGATATGAATAATTAATTTACTGATATCACAAATTCGATATTTTGATATCATTAAATCAGTTAAACAGATCACAAATTTGAAATGTTTTATTGATACCTTAAAATTGATTTTATGATATAAATAATTCACTCCTTGGTAAGTGAAAAGAATAAGTATCCCTTAAAGTCACCCATAAGACTCGGTACCTTGGGTGATTGCCAGCGGCGTGGGACGTTACTCATAATATCAATCATTGGTTTGTCTGGTCACGGCTCGATTATTTAAAAACAGTTGTGATAATGCTGGATTACTGCTGACGGCGGTGTTAAACAACAAAGGTAAACAACAATTTTTAACTGTTTATACTATGTCGGACAAATTGTAGTTAAGGATGTATATGGTGAACAGCTTGGGGTTAATGTTTAATGAGACGTTAAGTCTGATGATGGGACTGTATTATCTGCAGAATATATTGCTTCTCGGCTAGACTGTGTTGGCTAACAGAAGCGTTGTGGTGACAGGGAAAGCCATGAAGATAGCATTCATGTCAAACTAATCGCATCATACTGTATGAAACGGTGTTGAACGATACACGTTAGGACGGAGGTCCTCTTAGCTTAATCAGAAGTTACTCATATCATAAAAACAATTCACTCACGAACGAACGACAGTCGTTAACCCGTGATATGAGCAGGTGAACCAGTTATATAAGGGACGTAGCTAAAAATCTTTACAATCTACAGCTTTAAATCTACAGTTGCAGTAAATGTATTTCTTAAACACTTACATTTGTTTTCTTTGTTGGTTAACGCCGCACTCGGCAATATTCCAACTGTATGACGGCGGGCGGTAAATAATCGAGTCTGGACCAGACAATCGAGTGATGACATCATGAGCATCGACCTACGCATCAACCGAGTCATCTAGCCTGACCACCCGATCCCGTTAGTCCTCTCAGGAAAATCAATTCTAACACTTACAACGCTTATCAGACACAGGCCAAACACAGGCAGGCCCGTACAATATTCTAAAACGGGGATAACAAAGATGTCCCTACCACGTTCTGGACATAACACATTCTGAGTGTAGAATAGTTTCATCATTATGGTATCAAACTCAGATATCCAAACAGAAATACAACAATATCGAACCAACTCATCAACGACAATTTCCATATTGGACAACCTGTAAATTGACCAAAGTGATTCCAGCAATATCACGGCGGGGGACACCAGAAATGGGCTTCACACATTGTACCCATGTTGGGAATCGAACCCGGGTCCGAGTCGGCGTGACGAGCGAACGCTTTCACCACTAGGCTACCCGACCGCCCCAAATTGACCAAATGTCATGTAACTATAACAAACGACAAAAGAAGAACAGCATTGTATTTTGGTAACAATTTCAAAGTGTAAACATTTGCTTTTAGTGCTACGTGGTAACAACACATACGATGCTGTCAGATACAGTTCTATGTTTCATTCGAAGAGGGCCCTGACATCCCGGGCTCGTCTGTTCTATTTATAGATTCTTACACGCGAGGCGCGGGAGGAAACATTCAGATTGTTACCGAGAATTATAACAGATATATTTGTTCCCCCGACTGCTCCTCGGTAGCTGAATCTCACGACTTCACACTCAGGTATTTACGTTCGTGCAAATATCAGTTGGTTCAGGTTGTTTCTAAAGACGGGCGTCATTTTTCCTTATTTCCCATTTTCTGTTAAATGGAATCTGTTCGCTTTGTACATTGCAGCGGACCGATACCATGGCTCTGTTTTCGCATAAGTATGTGTGGTATTCAAAATGCACTGCGTTAACTTTCAGGCCTGTATCAGGCTTATAGTGTGTGATGCATGATACCGATGATCAGATCGTGAACTGGGAATCTGAATGTAGGATCGCTGAGGCGTTTATCAGAGAAACTAAACCTAAAGTCACAAGCGGTTCCGCATCACTAACGCTTAGAAGGTGAAGGTCAGAGTCAGATATGAGTTGCACGACGTTCATATACGAAAATACTGAACTGAATCTTTAGGACATTTGTATTTACCTTGTGAAATCAAGGGGATTACGTCACTTTTTTGCAGTATTATCCACGAACAAAATGAACCATATCCAATCATCTAGATTTGATAAACTGATGTAAATGTCCCTGCTTGGGCATATCAGGGCTATATATCATACCAGACCCGTGAAGATCCGGGGTAGTATAGATCTTCAGTAACCCATGCTTGCCGTAGAAGGCGACTATGCTTGTCATAAAAGGCGACTAACGGGATCGGGTGGTCAGGTTCGCTGACTTGGTTGATGCATGACATCGTATCCCAATTGCGTGGATCGATGCTCATGATGTCAATCACTGGATTGTCTGGTCCAGACTCGATTATTTACAGACCGCCATCATACAGCTGGAATATTGCTGAGTGCGGCGTTAAACAACAAACAAACAAATCATACCATGTGGATCTCCTTCAGTACCACGTTGATATGTTACGTCAAAAGCCTGGGTCATCCTCAAGGTCATAGCCCGAATAAAGTTACCTTAACACAAACCTTAAGACGTTACTAAAGTGGTAAGTTTTTAAGCAATCTTCATTTTTAAGATAGTTTGTATACTGAACCAACCTCTATGTATGTATGACATTTATTTAAGACACCAGCACTCATGTTTTCAAAGAGAAATAAACAAGCGCGTGATTCGATGCAATTGAGGGTCAAAGTCATCACACAGGAACAGCACATTTCTGTCTTGTTAGCTATCAGCCAGAGATCATTTAACCGGAAGTGTTCATTGCTATACACGGTAGCTACAAGCATGGAACTTTCTGTTTCAAGGTTTTACTGAAATGGTCATCCGTTTTTGAAAGGTTATACTGAATTTGACAATGGGCATAAAAGAGTGCTTTTTGTTTTGTTTTTCAGTCAGCTGTGACATAATTTGGTGAAATCAAAATGGTTCTTAAAAAAGAATTCTGGTGGGAACGTTTTGGGGCATTGTGGGGAAGGACACCGCTTCTGTTAGCAAAAACAGTCTAGCCGAGAAGCAATATATTTTGCGGATTATACAGTCCCAGCAGCGTGAACAATCAAATTTCCTTCTTAGTGCGTGTGTGTGGTGGGAAGTGGGTGGATCCTTTCTTTTCTGGATCAAACACGCATACAAACAATGTTGCACTGACCAGGAATACCTTAAATGGGTGGCCATCTCCTGCACGGTATGTTACTGCAGATCGTGCTTGAACTAAACACAAACCTTACCTTACATGCTCATGTGCTTATATTTGAGGGAATAATCTGGATTTTGTTTTGAAAGTTTCATTATTACTGCTATTTAACATTTTGCCTCATGTTTTGCAACCATAAATAATCGTGTAACAATAAGACTATGTGTTTACTCGGCTTTTTGCAATATTCCATCAAAATCACCATCAGAAATTGTCTGCACATTGTACCCATATTGGGAATCAAACCCGGGCCTTTGGCGAGCCGAGCATTCGATTTAACCACTTGCCTAACCGACGGCCAGCTGATGAAAGAGAAGAGAAACAAACGTTTCAGAGGATGGGTTACTAGTATATGTCTCAAGCCCATCCACTCCCTACATGCACGCATGCACGCCCACACACTCAATAATTGTGGGTAACTAGAACAATTTGTCAAGTTGTCAAATATTTGGTGTAGATCGTCAAAGCCTATAATAGGTATACTTCAGTGGGGAACCATTTTCCCCCTTTTTTCTTGTTTTATCAGGGAGTATTACAAAACATTCTATGTCGGAGAAAAGTATTTCCTTAAATTTTGTGAAACCCTGTCTAGTGATGGATGCTGTTCGTTTTCTGAGTAGAACTAGGGGCGGTCGGGTAGCCTGGTGGTTAAAGCGTTAGCTCGTCACGCCGAAGACCCGGGTCCGAATCCCGACATGGGTACAATGTGTGAAGCTCATTTCCCGGGTCCCCCGCCGTGATAGTGCTGGAATATTGCTAAAAGCGGGGTAAAACCATACTCACTCAATCACTCACTCACTCACTGAGTAGATCTATGACGGTTAGAGTGTTTTGTATTGTTGGACGTAATGAGGGGTCCTAATCAGGATGAGTGTTGGTTTCAAACCACTGATCTAAATGTAGTGAGTGAGGTAATGCTTTACGTCACATCGGCAATATTTCAGCCATATCGTGACGAGGATCTAAATGTAATACTTGTTCAAAATGGCGTACAACAACACACTGACGCGTTATATAAATGTATAATTTTGTTTCAGAAGATGTTTTGGAAACGACGGAGAGACGAGGATGATGTTGATCGCCTTAACCGTATCTGGACCCTGCTTATCTTAGTGGTGGTTGGGATAGCCGCCATTGTCTACATCGCCGTCTTCCCAGATTCCGCCATCACCTGTCTACCAGCAGATGAACAGACAAAAGCCGGCACCTTACACTATGCTCTCAAATACTGCCTTGATGAAGGATCATTCAACACACAGTATTATGACGAAAACACATTCTCCTACCACACGTTCGTGCCACTGTTTATGTTCTACCAGGCCTTCGCCTTCATTGCACCCCATCTCCTGGCGCAGTTCCTCAAGAGACTCCTCGGATCAGACTCGGAGTTCCTGTTCCTTTGTGCAGAGAACTGCAAACCCGACACCAGCTCAGACGCGACGTTTATGTCCCGAGTGGCATCCCCACCAGCACCCAGCATCAAGAACACCGTAATATTCATGTTAAAGAAAGCTCTGTATCTTCTCAACTCCTTCATCCAATTAGTAATAATCGCAATGCTTTTTTCACCGGATAAACCTTTCAATACAATCAGGGACAGATACTCCAAAGGTACATCGGAGACTCCTTTTCCACGATATGCAAAGTGTCGATTTGATATTCAAGGCGAAAGCACCCAACATTATCAGTGTGCCCTTCACATTAATGCCTTATACCTCAAGGTGTACATGTTCCTCTTCTATTGGCTTCTGATCCTGGCCGTGGCAAACCTGGTAAGTCTTATCGTGTGGGTTCTATTGCTCCATGTTCCCCGGCTGACCGCAGGGAAGATCAAGCTGTACACTCTGACCTCCGGAGTCAATGATTCCTATTCACCGGAGAAGCAGCAAGCGTTTGTACAGGAGTATCTGGGGAAGGACTACCTGTTGAACATCCTCCTGGCACAGTCCACAGACAGAGAACCCGTGGCTGCAGATCTGACCATGAAACTGTGGCAATCCTACAAGCAAACTCCCTCACCTGAAGTGGAGACGAGTCAGATGTAGTCTTCCACGGATACGTATGAAGCGGGCCGCTTATTGCAATGTGGTTTGGATGTAAACGCATACATCACATGTTTAGATCTAAACATGTTTACGAATGTGTTTAAACGTCTGTATCTGAACACGTTCAGGTCTAAACACATGAAATGAGCTATCGTCTCACAGCTTAAACACAACATTCCCATAGTATTAACAAGTTTTTTACCTCTGCAGATGTCTAAAAATAAATGTTAAAAACACGTTAAAATCTTGTTATAAAATCTATAAAAAGTTATAGGGTTATGAGAGTTATGTACGGTATTCTTACTTGCAAACCGTAGCCTACAATACAGATATAGGATATTCTAATTGGCTTTAAGGTGTTTTTTATCAGCTTACCACCACCTACAATACACATGTACATTATTCTAAATGGCTAATCAAGGCCTACAAAATAGAGAGGGGCACGGGTGGCCCAATCGTCTAAGGCGTCGCGATTCGTCTAAGGAGTTGCGTCCCTTGGGCACGCAAGAAACCTATGATTGTGGGTTCGAATCCCGGTTCTAGGTTTGTCAGCACCATACCCGTGCTCTAGGGTTTCACCGAAGTGGTAAACGTCTGAGACCTGCATCACTTCGGGCTTTCCTCCCACATTACGCTGACACGTAAAACCCAACTCACCTCTTACTCACAAAACAGATATACGGTATTCTCATTGGCTACCCATGACCTATAAAACAGATACGGCATTCTAATTAGACATCCGTAAATTAATAAATAATGAGCTGCAAGGAGTTCTCTTCAAGGCGTCCACATTGACATTGAGGGACTGTTGCGCTAATAATTTTCTCAAAATAGGTGTGACTGAAACTGTCCATATATATGATCCTCTAAATAGGCATGACTGAAACTGTCCATATATATGCTCCTCTAAATAGGCAAGACTGAAACTGTCCATATGTATGATCCTCTTAATAGGCATGACTGAAACTGTCCAGATATATGCTCCTCTAAATAGGCATGACTGAAACTGTCCATATATATGCTCCTCTAAATAGGAAATATTGGACCAGTCTCTGCGTGTGCCAGAAGCTACTGCCCTTGAAAATGCGCGCACTCGTAACGTATTTTGTTGTTAAGCTGAGCGGTATTGGTATGGTACTTTTCCATCAATTAATTAATTAAACATTGCTGATGCGGCGTTAAACGCTATTCACTCATTCACTAACCGAGGATCAATGGTGTTGATGGTGTTCTATTCCAGTACATCAATGAAGTCTGTTTTTATACCTCCACGTTTTGATGTCTTTTTATACTCTAAATAAAAGACACATATATACTGTCTGTGTCTGCGTCTGTGTTTACTGTAAATTTTGTTATGCTTCATGCAACATGGTTATGACAAAATGACAAAATGTGAAACCTGAGAAATGATTCCTCTGGCGAATACCGGTAAATATTTCACTGATTGAGAGATTAAAAATACACACGCAAATAAAAAAAACTGCAGTATTCACATATATTCACTCAACATGTCTCCTCCGTGGGGAATTGGTCCCAGCCCATGCTTGTCATACGAGGCGACTTAAAGGATTGGGTGGTCAGACTTGGTTAACTGACTGAACGGGACGCTGCTCAATAATATTCAGAACAGATATTTATTCGTGAAAAAGACTTGGGCTTCTGCCCCTCGTCTACAGATATAATAAAAATATATATTGACAATGGAGGCAGGAGACGATTTCATATTTACTGTAAACAGGATATATCATCCAAAACTGGCTCCCACAGGAGATATCGCTTGGATGACATCAAGCGATATCTACACTGTAGATATCGCTGCAATGAAATTACATCACAATGCTTTGCAGACCATTGTGACGTCACTGGTTACCATGACGTCTACTGCTACTGAAGCTGTTTGCAGTACTTTTTACACTGAAGACACTACAAATTGAAAGAATGATGTTGGATGATAAATAAAATCTCACCCTCGTATCTTTTGATATCAAATATATCAACACTCGTTGATAAAAGTGGCAAAATCCTCGGCAAGCCTCGGAATTTTTCAACTTTTATCAACTCGTGTTGATATATTTGATATCAAAAGACACTCGGATGAGATTCTCTATTTAATATATTTAGAAATATATAACAATTGTGTTTTACAACTTGTTTGTAGCAGACAAACTAGTTCTAGTTCAGATGGTCTTTCCCAATAATGTTTATGTAAATATCTTGCTCTGTTATTTTTACGTTTAGGACATATAAAGTTCCATTTTTGTACATAATTATCAATGTCTTTGTTTACACAAAGAGACAAATAACCTAGGATTCACAAACAAGGGATTTAACTACACACATATAAAACCATTTGTACACAACGTATCTTTTACATATTAATCTTGAACATCAATACTTCTGAAGCGACAATAATATTCATTTACGGTTTTTGCTGGTGTAAAAAACAAATGCATTTACTTTTACATCAGACAAACATCCATTTGTGGAAGACTGGCCATCCGCATCGATGTTACAGTTATTAGAACCCATATTTAAATATGCAAATGTTCTCATTAATTTAATATTTTTGTTAGAGGCAGAATATATTTTCTGTCACTGCTTCGAAACACGCAGTTGTTTTCAATGAAAGCAGGGGCAGCTCAGACTAAGTTGTTGTCCACGCCACATTAGTAAAGGACAACAAGCATGTTCAGCGAACAGTTAATTCCTTTGAGTAAAAACTTTGGAGAGGGGGCAGGTGGGACAAATTACTTTCATTTTTAAAATCATAAAATATCCCACTTCCACCACAACCTCACAAATAAGATAGATTTCATAATGATTTGACGAAACTTGCTGACCGCGCAGTAAAATAAGATTTCGCATGTTGGTCATAATTAACACTCAAATATATTTCAGCTACACAATGCACGATACTGTATTACTATTACCTAATCTGTTCAGTTATCGATTACATTCCGAAGATGGCCTAACGCAGCCTGTTGATACAAACATTTGATCTATCTAGGGATATTGATTTACATGCATTATCTGTCAATTTACATTGAGATTCGAGAAATAACAGTCAACTGGACCTTCGTTTATTCAAGACTCGTTTGACACGTACATATATAATTATGTAAGTATACCACAAAATGCCTGTTATTTTCTAAATATACTTTATGCATTCATATAGAGGTGTCTTGGTGGTATCCGTTCCTTTGTTTATTTTCCATTTTTGAGCTATATCTAAACAGTCAAATGAACCATAAATACTGACGACACAGCGCACATTGTTTAAAAGAAACCTGACAAATGCCCTTCAAGGCAATAATACTCAAGTCCGAGCCTATCTGGTGTCGTTGTTGGAATGCGCAGCCAGTAAACAGTAGCCCAGTTAACAGAAACTTGCAAAGGACGAATCAAGCTCTTCACAGCGATAGCCCGTTCGCCGAGCTCTCTATACTACCGAGACTGTAACGAAGGTGTCACGCGCTGGGATGGAGCTTGAGGTAAAATAATAAGCTGGTTCCCGGCTCCCTTTGCGCGACGTCCACTTGCGCCTATCTTGTGATATTAGAGACGGGGCCCAGCTTAAAGTTGCAATAGCTTTTCTTTTGTGTTTATATATATATGTAGTCAGTATGTCAGATACATAAATCAGTGACGCGTGAATCAATAGCTGTTAGGCATCTGTGCCCGGTAATCTGCATATTCATGTTGCAACAGCTGGCCAAAATAAGATTTTCAAGGAAAGTCGTGGGGAAATCGCCGTTTGTTGTTTACAATTGTGCTTTGGTATACTGAACGATAACAATACCATTAACAAAAACGTCATAACATCCTTGAAAGATTGATTAAATCATGATTTCGTGTAAACGTTATGTAATGATTATATATGTAAAATTCACCCAATCCTAACGGCGGCCTCGTGGCCTAACGGATAAGGCGTCTGACTTCGGATCAGAAGATTGCGAGTTCGAATCTCGTCGGGGTCGAATTTTTTTCTCATTTTCCCCAAATTTATTTTAGTTTTATTTATAATTATCATCATTTTTATTAATTTAATTGTATATCAAAACAATAGCGTAGACATGTTTTATAAAACTTTTATGACTTCAAAATGCATATAGATCTATTATAATTATATCCTAGTTCAAATTGAGGTCAGCATAATCAAAAAGACAAAACAATTCTAAAGCTATACTTAACACATGAGCGAAATGAAATGAGAATACATCTACAATGTATCTACATGTATCACACACTGCCGTGCACATGGACTGTATGAGATGCACTAACTACATATGGCACACTTTCGCATCTTGTGGATGAAGCGTCGTACAATCCTTCTGAAACCAGTCATAAAATTGTCCATGCGATCAATGACCGCAAACGCATTAATCATTTCAAAACATTATACTCACAACATATTTATCCTTGAAACAAATATGCATCTCATATCAATCTTACGTTTAATTATAACGAGCATAACAATAGCTTCAAAATGTCTTGTAATAACCCCGTTCTTGTGTAATCTCCATATCTGTTCTTACTTGGGCCGGTTTGTACGGGTATTTTCTCGAAATCTTTCGTCGTTGGTCGAATTGTTTCCTTTAATGTCTACTTTTTAAGAATATAGGGATGGTGAGACAAGAAAACAAAAATTCCAGTTATCTATTTCCTTTATACAATTTTGGAAAAATGTAAATGTTTAAAAATGTTTTTTAAAAATGTATGTTGTTTCAATGCATGGGAACAAAGCCAAGCACTGTTAAGAGTATCGGTGACGTTATGAATAGTACTTGAGCCAACAATTACGGGTCATTGTAGCTGTGACACTTTTCTAGGTCGTCTGATTCGTAAACAAAGAACTTAAACAAATGACACCTTAGTAATGATTGGTTTGGTTGGTTGGTTGTTTTAACGCCGCACTCAGCATTATTCCAGCTATATGACGGCGGCCTGTAAATAATCGAGTCTGGACCAGATAATCCAGTGATCAATATCATGAACATCGATCGACGCAATTGGGATCGATGACATGCATCAACCAAGTCAGTGAGCCTGACCACCCGATCCCGTTAGTCGCCTTTTACGGCAAGCATAGTCACCTTTTACGGCAAGCATGGGTTGCTGAAGACCTATTCTACCCCGGAATCTTCACGGGTCTCTTAGTAATGAAATATATAGGTCGCATAAAGAACCCGAGTCTATACGACTGTTACTGCTTCAGTGCACCACACGCAAGTACGTAGTCTTGCTTCAGTGCACCACACGCAAGTACGTAGTCTATATTCTGATTAAAAATAGAAATATGCAGGCCACATACAAAAGCAACAAATATAATGGTGTCACATTCTATGACTGTATTGGATTTTCGGTTAAAGTGCGTATGAAGAAAACAGTAAACTGTGTTTATTATCTATAATAACAAATAAATTATTAAATATCCTAAACGTTTTGTTTAAAAAACATTACCAGAAAGTACAGTGTGTGAAAGACATGCAACAAGTCGCACTTAGCCTTGATAATGCTGATTATCCAATATAAGTTGAACATTCAATGTGAATCTGAGGACAATACACTTACACAGAATATACCATTATATTAATATACCCAAGGCCGAGGTATGAGTATACCATCCATTTTTGTTAATGCAGCCTTACATCGCACAAACACTTCGATAAATAGACATGCCATGATGAATGCATGCATCATTTACATACAACACACTTACACCCTGACGACGATATGTTATTACAGATTTCATATAAAAGAAATGCATACATGTATACTAATAAATAACGCCATAAACAGGTACTAAACACATCGAACAAAGCTCTAGAATATTTCCCAACAAAACACATGTAAACACCGAAGGCACCTACACGAGTTTAGCCTTGTCAGAAATAATCACGTTTCTGCTCCAGACCCACCCTATTTCCGCCACAGCGCTCCCAGACAATGGAATCAAGGTACGGCCCCGCTGAACTCGTGTACACGCAGGCCTGTGTTCTGTGATTGTTCTGGTATGTAGTGTATATAGCAAGACTGCCGACAATTCAGCTTGCACAATGACAACATGTTCGTAGCAAACTTCATTTAGTCCCCACGGAGAGGCTGACCCGGGCAACTCTCTCCGCCCCGGGCTGAACACTTGTGGTGAGTAATGGACATACATTTGGATCTCGTTTTCGTGGGAAGAGATGGTCAACAATTTACCGAATAACCCAAACCTGCGAGAAATTACAGATTCTATGTCCTCAGTGGTTTAATATTGTATTTGTTTGTTTGTTGTTTAACGCCGCACTCAGCAATATTACAGCTATATGACGGCG